TTAATATTTCCAATAATTATGAATATGTTTACAAACATAAGTATTATATTTACAAATACAAATAACTAAATAGCTAATAAGATAACATAATTATAAGAAAACATAAATACTAAATTAAAAAATTATATTTTCAATAAGAAAATTATATTACTCAATTAATTTTTTTGTTTTAAGTTATTTTAAATTATTAATACAGACTATAAAAGCTAGTGTTCCATAAAACCTACCCTATTGACTATCACATTCAGACACCTTAAAACAAAACCACTAACCAACTCAAAGAAACATTAAACCATCAACTCTTTAATACTAAGTAAACTCACTTATACGGCCTGTGACCACCAGAAGAGTACCCATCCGTAGAAGTCAAATAAAGCAACCCACCCAACCGCACCGCATTAAACGCATCTCTCAGAAACGCCGAATCACTCCCAAACGAATCAACATCAATCAAATCCAAGAACTCACCAACCATATACCTCTCTATCATCGCCTTGTTCGCCAACACATGCGTCACCACCCACCTCCTCTCCTCTCCTTCGCCTCTCTCAATGAATCTGCTCAGATTCTCAGTGATCACCCTCCGATTTGAGTCGTTCGCGTCGTTCGCGACGACGAAATCGGCGTTTGATTCGACGAGGTAGCGGAGGGATCTGATCCCGCACCCGCACATCGCGTCGAGGACGCGTAGGGTTTTGGTGGAGCGTTTGTGGAGAGTGGCGGAGAGGACGGCGAGGTCGCGGCCTGTGGCGCTCTCGTGGCGGAAGAAGGTTTCTCCGGGGTCGAATTCGAGTCCGCGTTCGGTTTGGAGTTGGGATTTCACGGAGATTGGATTGAATCGAGATGGATTTGGGGGTTTAGGGTTTTGAGATTTGGGGAGAGGGAAGGAGAAGGAGGAGGAAGAGGATAGGGTTTTGGGAGTGAGAGTTAACAACATAGCGGCGGGAAATGAAAATCTGGAGATTGTGTTTTTTTTTTATATTCTTTTACAGCAAAACTATATTTTTAGCTAATTTATAAAAATTATTAATTTATCGATATAATAATTGAACCAAACATTTAATTATAACATTATATTGTTTTATAGAGATTTTTAGTACCAAAAATTCAATTATAACATTATATTGTTTTACAGAGATTTTTAGTATATATTAATTTACAGAATATTAATTTAAATAAATTGTATTATATTTTAAATTAAAAGCTGGAAGTTGGGATACTATTTAGTTTAATCATTTTAGATTTGAATTAAAGATTAAGTCACATTGTAATAATCTTTATAATTTCAATTCGGATTCGATTCAGATCTTTACGAATTTGGTATGAATTCAAATACCTATTTAAATTAGGTATCAAATTCAAAAGAATAAATTAAAATCCTCAAAATCTAATTAGTAAAATAATATATAGCAACACAAATTTGAATAATATAAAATTAATATCTAAAATTAATATAAAAATAAGTTTAATTGAGTATTTGGTAAGAATAAATAGGTATTTCAAATATTTTAGGTGTCTTAAACATTTATACTACTTTTAAAAAAATATACTTGTAAATATTTTTAATTAGTTTTAATATGTACATGTATTTAAAATATTTCATAGATATTAAGTCTAAAATAATTAATAATTTAGATATATAACAGTGATTCAGATAATTTTAGGTACTTAAATTATAAATGTTTTGATTCAGATAATAAAATTTGAGTCAATTAGGTCAATATACTAAAATAATATCAATATTAGCTATCTACCTTTTCAAAAAATTTATAGTACCCAGACAACATAAAAAGACACTTAAACCCTTGAGATAGGGATGAGGAAGGGAAAAAAGAATCGACAAAAAAAAAAAAACAGCCGACAAAAACGAGGAGAAAAAAGGAGGAGGAGAACGGGAGGAGAAGGAAGGAGAAAAAGGGAGGAGGAGGACGGGAGGAGAAGGAAGGAGGAGGAGGGAGAAGGAGGAGGAAGGAGGAGGCGGAAGGAGATCGGACGAGGAGGAGGGGAGGAGGATGAGGGATGAGCAGGGAGGAGAGGGGGAGGATATCGGAGGAGGAGGAGAAGAAGGGAGGAGCAGCGACGAGGAGGAGGAGGGGAGGGAGAGGAGATCGGATGAGGAAGGAGGATAAGGGGAGAAAGACGAGGGGAGAGGGAGGAGCAGGGAGGAGGTGGAGGGGAGGAGGAGGCGGAGGGGAGGAGCAGGGAGGAGCAGGGAGGAGGAGGAGGCGGAGGGGAGGAGCAGGGAGGAGGTGGAGGGGAGGAGGAGAAGAGATAGAAGAGGAAACGTGAGAGAAAAAAAGAGAGGAGAGAGAATAGACTAGGGGTAGTTAGGGAATTTAAAAAAATACAATATTTGTTAGGGTATATCCCTAATTTCCCTATTAATGTTGTGTATCAGATGCAATTTCTCATAAAATTTTAGATATTAAAATAATTGAATTATTTTTGGTTCGGTTTAATATAACGTTTTATCATATCAGTTTGTTTTTGGATCCGTATATATAGGTTTGGGCATCCGGGTTCTGAGGTTGGATTTGGGTAGGTTTTGTAGGGTCTGGATTTTTGGATCTTGGAAATTTGGACACATATATATATATATATATATATAGGTACCTATAATTTTTTGGATCGGATCTTGTGGGGTTCGAGTCGGTTTGGATCTATAATTTCAATACCCATAAAATACTTATAATTTTCAAGTATATTTTGGATCCAGGTCGACTCGGATATTTTGAATCCGAAAATGATTCAAAAACTCCAAAAATACTCAAAAACTCTAAAAATATTTAAAAATTCTAACAATACTCGAAGAACCGCAAAATACCCTAAAATTTATCCAAAATCAGAATTTTACCTGTATACTCGAATTATATTTTCTGAAAATCTAAAATTTTACTTTAAAACTTACAATTATACTCGATAATCCAAATTCGAAACTTTAAAAAACATTTAAAGTACCAAAAATATACTCAAGCACCCATACCCAATATATACAATAGTATGTGGGTTCTTCGGATATCCGATCAGATTTCAGATAGAACTCGGATCCAAACCGAAACCCACGGGTCTAAAAAAAAATCCAATAAGACCCAAACCTGTATTTTTAGGTTGGTTTTGGTTTGGGTCTTCGGTCCAGATAGAATACCCTGGTTTAATATCAGTCCCATCCGATGTAATCCACGTGTACGGAAGAGATGTAACCTCGTATCAACACCTATGTGTTAAGCCACGTCAACAAGCTTATGATTAGTAGGTCCTACATATTAACGCGTAATGATCGTCTACATTCGACACCACCGAAGAGCCCGATACGCGTTTATTCTTCTTCCCTTTCATGGAAATTTTTTTCGAGTTTCTGTTTCTGGGTTAATGGAAATTAGGGTTTTGTTAAAGGGGAGGCGTTGAACATGAAGATGATGATAGAGACTTGTAGTCTCCGACAACGATGAAGAGAAAGAAAGAAAGGTAACTTAAAAATAAAGCCTCTCTCTCTTTTTTTTTTTTTTTAGAACTGAAGATTGTTTTAGGTTTGTCCACTTTTACGAACCTTCCATAATTTCTTTTATTTTTTTTATTCTTTATATAAATCCCTTTGCATTATCTTTATCTTTATTCATCGTTTCGGTTTCTTCTTACAAAAAAAAACATTTGGTGTCCGTTTCGTTTACTTATTGTCTGAATCTCTTTTCTTGTAAGATTTTTTTTCGTTGGTTTGAAAAAAAAAGTTGGTGTAACGTGTATATCTATGTCTATCCAATAAGATCTGAAAACCAAAACGCTGGAAACATTGTGGAGGAGAGGTGAATTAATCTTTAATCAAAATTCCATATGAATATAATCTGCGTTGAAATAGTCTTTTCTCAATGAGGCGTGAGATGACCTCGTCTTTTTCATTTCTGTTGATTTGTCTTGTTGATTTATTGTCGGAAAAAAATAAAAATAAAAAAATTGAATCGGCGTGAGACTCGTTTTCTTTTGTGGGATCTTGTGTCTCCTTTTGTCTTGAACTATCGGTCGTGGTCCTTTTTTCTGTGTGTTAAAAGCTTAAAGCAAAATTCGGTATTTTTTTAATTCCAAAAGGCCGTATTTTTCTCATGTCGAATGTCATGTACGATTAGTTAAAATCACAAAACCCCTGTCCTAAAATTCTGATTTTTTTTATTTATTTGTTACAGGAATTTAAAAGCCTATTGAATATTCGCAGATTAGCCCCAGAGAATCCGCAGCAGGTACTCTTTGAATTAAAAACATCAGTTTATATTAAAAGTTTTGATTTTGTAAGAATGGTGAGCTAGATTTTACCGTGGTAAATAATCATGACACAAGATAGATATCATATTCAGTGTTTGGTTTTGCCTTAGAGGTGCTTAAATCTATAGGATAATAACATATACTGGATTCACTATTGACATTGCTCTGTTTCATGTCCTTTTCTTTGTTTAATATTGTCACATTAAAGTCAACTCTTTTTTAATCTTCTTTGTTGAAAGTTTCAACTTATGTCTCTGTGGTTTGTAGATGTCACATTCCTATAAAGCAGCTCACTGGATTTGAGGATTTGTGTGTTGAAGTTATGCTCACATGGGTGACATTCAAGAAAGATTGTCTGTTTCATCATCTTCGTCTTCTTCAACAAGCTCATTGTCAGTAACAACCGCACAACCCAAACAAGATTCATTGCCAATAGATGGAGAGTTTTGGATGGTTGCAGAAGAGAGAGCTCATGAGATACTAAGCATTATACAACCTTCCCTTGTTTCAGATAGAAGTAGGAATGAGATTATTGATTATGTACATACTCTAATCAAGAATCATGATGGGACTGAGGTTAGATTCTATTTTACTTGTTAAAGCTTTTTTTTTTTATTGTCTGTTAAATTTTTAAAATGGGAAAATGTATCTCTCTACAGGTATTTTCATTTGGTTCAGTGCCTCTAAAGACTTATCTCCCTGATGGAGATATTGATCTGACTGTCCTAACTAAGAGAAACGTGGAGGATGAGTTCTTTCAAAGATTGTATGATACACTTAAAAATGAAGAAGGCAAATCTGAATTCAATGTAACAGATGTTCAGTTCATCCCTGCACAGGTTTGTTTGTTCATTTATTTCATTTTGGTTACAGCTTTCAAGAATGCTTCAAATCTTGTCCCCTTCTGGATTGTTAGGTGAAGGTTATAAAATGCAACATTAGGAGCATCGCTGTGGATATCTCCTTTAATCAAACCGCAGGGCTTCGTGCTTTATGTTTTCTGGAACAGGTAACCTTTATCATTACTCTGACTTTGTTTTGATTCATGTATATTGGCTTTTTAACATGTGGTTTTAAAGGTTGACCAACTCTTTGGGAGAGATCATCTTTTCAAACGTAGCATCATTTTAACTAAAGCTTGGTGCTATTATGAGAGTCGAATTCTTGGTGCCAACACTGGATTGATCTCAACGTATGCATTGGCTGTACTAGTCTTGTATATCATCAACCTATTTCATTCATCATTATCCGGCCCTTTAGCGGTAATATATACTCTAACTTCTCTGAATCTTTGGGTAGTCTATATGTAAAACATGATTTTTAAAGTCATGTAATTAAGCAGGTTTTGTATAAGTTCTTGGATTACTATAGTTCATTTGATTGGAGCAGCTACTGCATTACTGTTAGTGGTCCTGTGCCAATATCTTCCCTTCCAGAACTTATAGGTAAGAATGTGTCAAAGTTTTGTATACACTTCTCTTTGTGGCATTTTCTGATGCTCTGTGTCTCTCTTTGCAGCAGCTTCTTCAGAAAATGGGCATGAGTTATTGCTTGATGAGAAGTTTTTAAAAGACTGTGTAGAGTTATATTCTGTACCAACTAAGACTATTGAAACAAATGGTCTTGAGTTTCCTATCAGACATCTCAACATAGTTGATCCTCTTAAACATAGCAACAACCTTGGAAAAAGTGTTACAAAAGGTATATATACTTATTTGATAAAAAAAATTTTCATAAACCATTGTGTTATACCAGTTTCATATTTTTTGTTACATTTTGTTAGGAAATTTCAAAAGGATAATGCATGCTTTTACATTGGGAGCTAGAAAGCTAAGAGATGTTCTTTCACTACCTGGTGAGACCATGGGATGGAGACTTGAGAGGTTCTTTGGAAACTCTTTGGAGAGGAATGGTAAGGGACAGAGACAAGATGTGAATGATCCGGTTACAGCTTTTGGTACTGGGAGATCAGAGCTATCTGAACTCAGTGGAGACTTTGAAGGTTACTTTGGTAGGCTTGTGTATGGTCAAATGTATCATAGTCATAGGGATGCAAGTGCTTGGGATGTTGTCCGTCACCATGTGAATTACAGAAAGAATGAGTTTTATCGTAGAAGTCTGAATGGTTCAACGTCAATGCAGCCTTCACCGCTGCATTCTTTAACTAATGGAAAGTCTAGAGGAACAGGAACTTTTATTCCTGACATGGTAATGTGATTTCTTAGCTTCAGAGTGGTTTTACTTGTTTAGATTCTCACCTTTGGTTGTTGCAGGGTCAACAGTTATACTCTGAGAAGTTAAGAGACTCTGGTACTAGAAACTCAGTACCGTTTCATCATTTAGAGTCTTCTGCTGAGGCAAGAGATGACAATGGAGCTAGTGAGCTGTCTGGTAAAGTGTCTACTTCTTGTGCCAGTATCAAAGGAGAAGAATGTGTGAAACCAGAGACTTGTAGTAAAGATCATCATGTTTTGAGTCCTCTAAGATCAGGGGACGTGGAGGTTGGTGACATTTGCCACTCTTCAACACCAGAAAATGGCAAAGAAGAGGAGAGCAAATCATCCCAAACGTTGAACGGTTCTTGACTTTAGTGACTGTTACAGAATTTTTGGTTGGTCCCTTGGTTATATACCTCCAGGATAACTTGCTTCTCTTAAAAAACAACATGAACAAACTTTTATTTAGGATTCAAAAGATTCATCAGGAACTTGCTTACTTGTTGTGGACCAATGTTTCATGAGAGATCTCTTCTTTGTTGCTGGTAGGACAACATACACAAGTGGTATGTTATATAGGTTATAAGTTATTGGAAAAAAAAAAACCTCAAAAGCATTTATTTATTTAGTAACTTCATGAACACACACCATGTTCTATGTTTTGTACAAAAGACACTATGAAAGTTGTCTGAATAACAACAGCTTTCATGCCTTACAAGACAACATAACAAGTTGTACACAAACAAGGAGACAAGTCTTTGGACTATACATCAGAGCGTGTCACTGCCTGGGGAGTGAGAATGTACATGTGACAGTCATGTGCATCAACTTGAGCTTCAAAAGAGACAGAAGCATTGTCTGTTATATCTTTGTGCTGCCACAAATCTCTAACCGAGACGCTAAGGGAAGATTCAAGACCAATCATATCCCATGTTGCTGTAATGGTTGCAGGGGTTGCACAACGGTTCCATAGAGCAACTACCATACGGTCACCAGATAAAGGCCCTGACCACACCTGTTGACAATCATCTTCTCCATTGGCTTGAATTTTCCTTCCTTGAACACCAAGTGGGTCTGCAACCACAAGTGTATGTCAGAAAGTCATGTATGTAGTGAAAGCTAACGAGTCTAAAAGATTGTGAACATCACCTTGGTTAACAGCAATAACCTCCTTATTGCTCAGAATCTCAAAGGTTTCAGCGGTCATGTTTCTTACATCACAACCGATCAAAAGTGGTGCCTGCACGTAGAGTTCAAATCAAGGATACAAAGATAAGATCAAGAAGCAATGTAATTTACACATACCTTCATCAAAGCCCAAATGCTAAAATGACCACGGTACTCCTCGTAAGTCATCCCTCCATTCCCAACTTCCAACATATCCGGATCTAATGCAATGAAAACAATTGTCATCAATACTTCAGGACTCAAGTGTTACTAGTTTCTATTTCCATAGGAAACACTTTACCATTCCAACCACCAGGTCCAGCATATGCAGCCCACTTGTTATTCAAATCAGCAATTGTAGTCATACTTCATAAACGGCAAAAGCAAATTAGATTCATGATTTAAACCAATCCCTCTCTAAGGAACTCAATGTTCAAACTACTCAAATCTCATAAAAAATCAAATGCCAAGAGACTTCCCACCTTGCCCATGTATCATTGATGTCCTGAGTTGTGCGCCAACTGTTTCCAACTTCTTTAGCCCACAAGGCAGGATCATCCTCTCCCCTGCAAACACACACAAAAGGAGTTACTAAAATTCACTCTTACTCAACCTGTGTGAAGACGTTTTGAGATATGTTACCATTCACAAAGTGAGTAGAAGATTGAGCGACCAGTTGCATTTAGAGCATCACGCATTGGAGGGTATCTGGAAAGAATCAACCGTAAATACCAAAACAAGCTCGTGATAGATGGTACCATATCAAATCACAAAGACCAAACCTTTCAATTGGCTTTATCCCCAGGTTGAAACAGTTATCATATTTCAGATAGTCCACACCCTACAAACCAAGACAAAAGATGCCACCAAGTATTAATACACAGTGTAGTTCATTGAATACTCTCAAGTTTTGAAGGACATTGGCTGAAAAACTAACCCAAGAAGCAAATATGTCAGCATCATCCTTTTCATGGAAGAGAGATCCGGGACGAACTTGACAAGTGAAAACACTGAAAGAGGAAACCAAGAGGAGACTATATAACCTATCACTTTCGTTGGTAGAGCCTATAATAACTACAAAAAGAGAGGTGCATTGAATCTTGAACCTACCCAGCATCAGAATATATACCAAGTTTGAGACCCTTTGAATGAACATAATCAGCAAGCAACTTAATCCCTGATGGAAATGTTTCAGGATGTGGTACCAATTGTCCCTGTAATTCAACATTTTACAAAAGAAAAATGTAAAAGACAATACCACCTCCACAAAAACTAGTACTTTAAGACCAAACAGAAACTCTCTAATACAAGCGATCATACCTTTGAATCACGTAACAAATTGGACCAACAATCATCTGCAACAAAACAAAAACTTGTGAAACCTAAAGCAGTAAGGATTCAATACAAACATGATGAGGCAAGTTCAAAGGGACAGTAACAATACCAATATTGACATGTATGTATCCTAAATCAGCCAAACCAGATGACACCAACGCATCAGCTGAAAGTAAAAAATATAATAATCAGTAACTACAATGAAACAATAAGAAAAATAATAATCATATGAAACATGTGAGAGTAGCTTTACCAGTTTCCTTGATAACAGTTTCATTGATATTACAAGCAAAGAAGTTCCAGCTATTCCATCTGTCAATCAAAACAAAAACCCACAAGTCCAATAAGAGAAACCCTTCAAAAAGTTACAAACTTTACACCACAACAGAGACAAAAAGGTTGTTCCTTTTTCACTAAACAACAGAACAATAAAAAAAAAAGTTCAATCCTTTACTGAATTTACCCCATTTGTGGAGTACGAGCGAGGCCATTGTTGAGCTGCAATCGTCCGTACATAGAAGTGTCATAGATTGAATTGAATGATTTGCTGAAAACCAATCCATTAGTATTGCTCTTCTGCAACAACAAGGGAGCTTTGACTCTTCCTGCGATTGTCTGAGAGACCAAAACAGATAAAGAGAAGAACACAAGGAAGAACAAGACCGTATCTTTCATCTTCTTGTCTTTGTTGAGTGAAGGAAATGATCAAAGAAGAATTTGTTTAAGAGAACGGAGTCGTATTGATATATCCAAAGAGTTTGGATAAAATAATAAAACTAGTTCGTTTCCAGAATATGCTTTACGCATCATCATCATCACACATCGTTTTCATTAATTACTATTTTAGGTACAGTATAAATTAAAAAACTATGGAGATGGTTTAACGATAAGAAAGTGTTATCTAAATCTGATTATTTTGGTTTTGATGACATACGTATCGCATTTCTAAACCTGTAACACAGACGAATTGCGTTTTTAAGTCTTAACTCTTAAGCATTTTATCCAGTCAACACGAATGTTGAAAGAAAGAGAAACTGTGACTAATATTTGGTGAGGAGCAGAATTAACTGGGCCTTTTGATCTCATATGGGCCTTTGTTGTGCCTATAATAATCAAGAGATATGTTTGAACTAATAAAATGGATTAACCCCCAATTTTTTTTTTCTTTGCTAAAAAAATTGATCCCAGTTACTCAGTTAGTCACAAATCCATAAAGTTTAGTATATACAAGAACCATTTTAACTAATGAACCTAACCCCATTTAGTTTTAGTTTTAACCTTTTAGGCTTTTAGCTCACCAATTTTATGTCTAAGAAAAAACAAAACAAACCAATTAATGACTTGATTGGTTTGTATTGTACTTAAAATATTTGGCTTTAAAAGTTAGAAGTTTCTTATTTTGGGTTTAACTTTCCTTAGTTGTAGATTCATTTTCAAAAGATATTCAAAACACTAAATAAAATATGTAAAAAAATTGATTATCAGAGCTAAAATATATTTTTCTAATTTTTACTGTAGTTTTTAAAAAAAAAACTAAGACATGATTAATTTATAAAAATGTTTACAAAGTAAAAATGGCTGTCCAAATCACCTGTAACCCTTCCCATTCATCCTCTAAATGACTAGAAAATTCTAAATCTATACATGAATATAATTTATGCTAGTTATTATTCTAGTTTGACCTCTAAGAGGTACAAAGAAATTCTCATACTTCTAACAAAATAAACAGAAGAAAGTAACAAATCACCAGATCACTAAACTCCCACGTAACAAAATAATCAGACACAGCCATATTTTTGTGGCCCACAATTCATTTCAGTTTTCAACCCACCACATGCATGTTTACTATATACTATGCAACTCCTTTATTTGAAATTAGAGAGTTGACACAAGAGAATGGTTCTAAGAGCACTCCATCTTCAACACAACGGTGGGTTCATCGCCACGATCAAAGTCCCGATCTCAAGAACCTCGCCAAAGCCAGAAACCTAGATGGGTCGTTGTGTCGGCGAAGCAAGAGAAAGATGAGGAGAAGAAGAAGGAAGATGAGCATTGTTCACTAGACTAACCGATGCGTTACAGGTTCGGTCGGAGAAAGACGCTGAGCTTCTCTACGAGGCCCGTGAAGCCACCAAATCTGGTGGCAAGATAAACAAAGAACAGGTCAGTCTTCTTACTTAACCACACCACTTGACATTTGACAACTCTTTAGTAATAATTATAACTATTACTTATGAAATAAATCCAGAATTCAACTAGACACAAGTAATTGTAGCAACCGATCTTTTACTACTTTTTTGTGTAAGAAACCTTCATGTAAGCTATTTTATCATCAAACCATGTTGGATTGAGAAAATCTAACTATGATAATTATTGTATTATCATTGAGTTGTGTTTGATATAATCCAAATGGTGCAGTATGGGGCATTGAGAAGAAAAATCGGAGGAACATACAAGGACTTTTTTTAAATCCTATGTTGAAGGTATAATTAAACACCGGAGGTTATGAATATGAAGATGATTTTTTTTTTTGTCATGAATACTTGAAATAATGGTAAGGGGTTGTTTATATTAAATGATATAGTGGATGGAGAATATGTGGAGGAAGGATGGGTGGACAAAACATGTAAGGTATGCAAGAAGGACACAAAGGGTGAGGCAAGACAAGTGGACAATTCAGGGAGATATGTTCATGTCTCATGTCTTCAAAATCCTTCAAAATCTTTTGGAAATTTCTATACTAGACTCTTCTCAAGATGATCATTATCCCAAATCATATATATGAATGCGTTTGCTTCTGTTTTTTTTTTTGTTAGCTGAATTATTCTTGCAATTTTGTGTATCTTATAGAAATTAAATTTCATTTACGTACCAAAACAATAATCATGCTTAGTGGGATCATGAGAAACAAAGATACAAAAAAATACATAATAATAGTTGAAGCCTAGAAGGTATGCAGATAATCAACTGATGAGTATATTGAAGCCTTGAAGGTATGAAAATAATAAAAGTAAGATATCCCCCCCCCCCCATGTCATCAGGAACTAGCAAAAGCTATTGAGATCGATCACCAATGAAAGAAAATGACTAGTTTTGATTTTGAGCTAATGGAAGAGAACATAGAGGGCACTGTTGTATATATGTTTTTGTCCTCCTTGAGTTTTGAATACTTGAATATGGCGGGACAAGAGGTGGTCAAAGGTTCTTTCACTGAACTCAAAAGCTTGATCTATGCAATGGAATCACTCATTCCTTGAGATATGATAGGCTATCGCTTATAGTTATTTAAATGTATTATGTTGTTTTAGAATCCAGGTGGCCAGTGACAAAATTTTTTTTTTTTTTTTTTTTTTTTTTTTTGAATCCAGGTGGCTTTTTATGAAAACCCAAGAGCTTTTCTTGAGATTTTGGGGACTGATATGTTTTTATTAGTAAATAACCATTAACGAGAAATAGTAAACATGAAAACGCAATCGATACAACTAGTGAAAAACCAATCAATACTGCATTACATAATAGCCAGAAAAAATGACTTGCCTTTTGACACACATTTGAAGAAATAACTCTGCATTATTAATGCGAGATGTAACTCTGCATTACTAATGCGAGATGAACAAAACATAGATGGATCGAATATTCTAATACATTGATGCTTAAATGCTTTATATTCTACACACAATGATACAAGATTGGAATACCAGCCCCCACTTAGTTGAGACGTGAGAGCAATCCACTGATCAAAACTTTAATCCGATCTATAACCATATTATAATCTGAACATCAACTTATTACTATGTATATTCCATCTTTATACCTAAAACCCCTCCCATGCCTAGAGATCTCCTTCTCCATATGGTTTAGCCTGAGATTACATTGACCTGCATTTTATTGTGTATATATATATATATATCTATTAGAGTTATTACAAGCCTATAGGAAAATACAAGAATGAGATTAAAGTGTTTTGCATATGGTACCAATCTTTCTAAAGATCAATCAGCTCTTCTAGTGACTGTAGAATGAGGAGAGATTCGTTGTCCCTCCTATCTCATGGAGCTTGATCTGCATCTCAATGAACCAAACAACCTCTCCTTAAATAAGCAAAGGAGAAAGTATTATAACATTTTTTTACATGATCTTAAAGAAAGCTATATAATTTTAAAAATAAAACTAATAAATACGAGAAAGACATTGTCTTTTGGATTATTGACACGAAACGACCAAAGCGACCTAATTTTAAAGTACGAACGTACCGTTGGATTATTGACACGATAAAAAGGTAAAGCCCACGTGTCTGGAGTTGGAACATTTTAGTATGAGATCTAGAGACCATGATGTTGCTAACCCACGCCGCTCTTAATTATTTTATTTATATATATTCATGTTTTGTCCTTTTTTTTGTTTATTTCGTTGTCCGTGACTCCTCGGTCCTACTCTCTAGCCAATAAGAAGGTAACACGACGATATTAAAGGTAGCAGACAGAGATCACGTGGCGTTTTATTATTGGGGTCTTAAGATTGCCTTCAAAGTCTTGGCCACGTCATCATTCTTGAACTGATATCGACGTCAAACCCAAACTCGTAGAAAAGAATAGTTACAGTGTCCTTTGTTACCCACAGTACAAACTGACGAATGTTACAGTTCCTATTTGAGAATCAAGAATTAACAATAAAGATAAGAAATTACTTTTTCAAAATAAGATAAAGATATACCTTTGAAGTCTAAGAACAAAAGAGTATAGTGTAAAGTAGTTAAGTTGAGTTTATTCATTACGGATCACCAAATCAATTAGACAGTTAATCTACCCCTTTAATACATTTATTAGACTCATAAAATAATGAAGTTGATCACCACCTAAATCATAGTATGAGCAGTGCCATTCACTAACTCCCATAATCAATTATCATTACAAAAAAAGCTTTAGGGGTTGTATTCAACTAAGAGTTTGAGTTGATTTATACTCCATTTTTTTATAAGTAGTTTTAGAAAAATGTTTTTGTTTCAAAATATAAGTAGTTTTCAAATATCTAAACAACTTTTACATTTATTGAATATGGTATGTCCGATCAAATAATACTGATCTATTTATGACTGGTTTAATTATACTTAATTTAATATACCAAATGTTACTTTAAAAATAATAATAAATTGTTCATAATATTTGTGCATTCAAGTAAAACTGTTTATAAAAAGAAACGGATGGAGTATTAAAATGACAAACATATTGTTATTCAAACGTGAGTTAAAAAACACATTTTAAAATCTAATATTATTGAACTTGTCATTTCATAAAACACTCTAAAATCCACTGATATAGAACAAAATTTAAATTAGAGATTCTATAGTGATTTAAATATTTTTAGAGTGTTTGAGAGAAGTTTATTAGTTATAAAAATAAAAATTTAAATCTAAAAATTTTAGATGAGATTCTAGAATTGTTTAACAAAAATCATCCGAACTCTCAAATTCTCCACCATCATCTAAAAATCTATTAAAAATCAAATCATTTCAAACTACACATTCAATACACCTTAGTTTTTTCATAATAGTTTTTTTTTCTATTGGTATTAACATTTTTTAATCAAAGTGATATATTTCACAATAATCATTATGGTTTGTTTATAATATAAGCAAACAACTCATGTATGATCAAAACGAACTGAAACCAAAATATAAGTATGAAAAAAAAAAAAAAAAAAAAAAAACTGAAATGAGCAAAACATGTTTTCACCAAGNTGAAACCAAAATATAAGTATGAAAAAAAAAAAAAAAAAAAAAAAACTGAAATGAGCAAAACATGTTTTCACCAAGGGACGAAGTGTTGCTTTTACTCTGTCTGTTCAGGAACTGTGTTGTGTATGAATCTGAACTTTCTCCTCAACTGTTTCTCATCAGCGTTAGTGACTTGTTTCCGATTTAGGCCACTGCCTACTGAAACGTTACGTTTTAGCATTGGCTTAGTGAGATCATCCTCAAGCGTCTTGTGCTGGTTCACATGGCTCAAGAAGGAGCGTCTAGGAATGTTATCATCTTTCATAGACCGTTTAGCTCTAATAGCTTTCTGATCTTTCCATGACTCAATGTTCCACTGACGAAACGCATCTTCTGCTTCAAGTTGCTTCACATTAGCAATCTCTACTCGATTTAACGCAGCTTCCAAAGCTCCTTGGCTTTGTTTAACTTCTTCATTAGCTTCCTCCAACTTCCTCATGATCTCAATGGATATATCTTCTTGCATTTGTTCCTTGAGTGTTAAAGGTGACCTTGGTTGCTCCTTGGCGCTGGATAGTATAGTCATTTCAGCAATGGCTAGTGCTTCAGCTGCTCTAGCAGCTTCCTCCATTTTCCTCGCAGCAACCAATCTCATTCTTGCGGTTTTAAGACATGTATTGTCTCTATGTTTGTTATCATTGGTTTCAACAACCATCTTAACTTGTTCGCATTGTGGGAACCTCTCTTCATCATTATGTTTTAACCTCAAACTGTTAAGCTCCTCGGCTAGAGACGCTACTCCAAGAAAATCTTTATGTTCCACCGTCTTTATATTCAAAGATTCAATGTGGGATCGGATCATAGAAAGATCGTTCATGGTTTTACCAAGATTCATCATATCTTGAGACTTGAAGGGACTAGGATGATCATGGCAACGTTCATGATCATGGTTCATCTCTTTGATTTGTGAACGAAGATGGTCAGGGCTCTCCATGCATCTCACGTGTTGTTGTTGCTGCTGCAGCTCGAGTTTCAAGTCTTTGACAAATTTTTTCGTTGATCCAAGAGCTTCAAGAAAATCTAGAGTTTCTAACTCTTTTATAATTAGATCCTTCTCAAGCTTTGCTGCATTTTCCTCCATTTTCTTTATGTCAAATTCTCCCACACCGTCCTGGAGAATTGAACAACCAACAAAAAACATTTGATAAAATCTAGTTCTCATGCTAAATGGTTCATACAACAATATTAATGTAACGTAGCATCTTTCATAATTCTCATGCTAAAATTAATAAAATAAAACAAATTATCAGTATATATTTTGCTGGTTCTAGCCCTAAACAGCTTTTCCTTGTTCCAAAAGCAACCACATTGTAATACATAAACATTGAAGTCTCAGACATGGCCGTAGATAACATTTTAAGGTAACCACAGATCATAGCAAACAATTCTAGACGACTTTGAGACTAGCACGCAATACATCAATGGATAGTCCTGAGCATAGTAAAATTAAACATTAGTACTCCCTCTGTTTCAAATTAGGTGTCATTGTAGCCGAAAATTTTTGTCACAAAATAAGTGTCCTTTTACAATTTCAATGTAGAATTTATTAATTTTATCTATTTTTCTATTTTTTATAGGTTAAAATATGGTTAAGTATATATGTAATTGTGTTTTTATTTTGAAAATATGCAAAATTAAATATTTTATTAATCTGTGCGCAAAAAAAACTAAAATGACAAATAAAATGAGATGGAGGAAATATAATACTCCCAAAATTTTAAATAGACAGAAGCTCCTAAATTTATATAAAAATATTAAATTATTAGTATTAAACTGTTTATAGTCTCAAAATTTCAGTACCGGCTTTGAATTTATACATAACAGATAATGAAAATACACTTCAGATTCTCAGTGACAATAGTACTTAAACATGCATTGCACAACAAGAGTTAAGAAAAGACAAGAACTCACGTAATTGTCTTTGTTGAGTTTGAATGGAACCCAAGAAGACCCACGACCTCCGGTTACTTCCGACCCGGATACGATTCTCACATCCCGGATCCTCGGTGTACCGGGAGCCGCTTCCGCCGCATTGTTCTTGATCTGAAGCCTCTTCTCCGCCATTCTCCGCGTCAAGAACAACCAAATGGTTTGTCAAAACTCCAAAAGGTAAAGAGAATTTAAAGAGATGCTCACTACAGTAATTATATTTACTGCACAGAAGCAGACATTATGAAGAAAAGTGCTCTTGAACTATAGTGATTCGCTATCATTGTGTTTTCTCGTTAATGACTCAAAACGACTAGGGATAAATTAAAGAAATGGAATGAGGATAATCAAGGGTGTGTTACGTGGCTTGTGTTGATTGGTTCTTTGGTTCTCATAATCAATGGTATGTTGTCTCTCTTTGACTATATACTTGACGTGAAACTGGGTGTTCTTGGGCCGTTGATTAAGGAAGCAAACTTGGGCCGTTGATTACGGAAGTTTAGAAAGGTGTCGTGGCATGACCAAATCTATGAGACCACCCCCATTAGAGTATCAAGGAGGGGGGTTCACACAGTTCCCATAAAACAAAACAATATAAAATGCTTTTTTTTCTTGAACCTGTATCACAAAAAATTTCGGTGGTGATATCGGTTCGTCACGAGTTCGCCCACGTGGCGGACCAGGATTCGTTAAATTTTTTTTTATTTTTTTAAATGTCAAACGAAAAAAAAAAAATTTAAGTGACATTGGAGATTGTGCCAGCAAAGTATTAGTGATGGAGATGTTCTTATAAACGCAAATTTAGGTCATCATTTATAAATGATACGAGAGTTTAGTTTTACAAATGATTATTCAATATTGATAGATAATTTAAAGTGTTGGTTTGTTTCTTTAATCACAAATTTAAGGTATTATAACATGGTAAATCTGAGAAATAGTACCAAGTTTGTAGTAAATTTTCTTTTTTTTTTCTTGAGAAATAGTATCAAGTTTGTTTTTTTTTTTTTTTTTTTGAAAGAATTTTAAATTTATTCAAACAAAAAAACTTTTGTACAATGAATGTGATCGTTCATCTAGCTAGAAATAGCCTTCTTTTTTTGAATAAAAAAACAGAGTATAACAGAGTATGTGATTACTCTCTAGCTGCAAACCAGAACTCCATAGCTTTGTCAAATCTTTTGTTTCCTCGGACTCGAAGTGATGTAATTCTGTTACGTATGGATTTGTCAATGAAGCCTATAATGAGAGCTGGAGTCTTTGGAGCTTCCCCATGTCGCCTCCCATTCCTTTCCAGCCAGATTGTGTGGATCACAATTTGAAAGGTGTATCGAATCAGAAAGGTTGTGGTTTTGTCTTGAGTCTTATCCACCAACAGACCCAAAACACCGTTCCAACGATTAGAGTAGTCACGTCCAAGTAGCTTCTTTGTAAGAGTTCTCCATATTTCCTCTGAGTAAGGACAAGAGAAAAATAAGTGGTCCCTCGATTCAACCAATGCATTACAAAGAACACATGATGAATCCGCCTGTGTACTCCATTTGGCGAGACGATCACCTGTTGCCAATCTATTGTGAGTTGCTATCCAAGCCAGAACTGAGTATTTTGGAGTTGCTCCACTAAACCAGATTCCCTTTGACCAAGGTACAATGGGACTCACCTCCCGAATCAGGTGCCAAGTCTGTCTCGTGTGAAAAATAGGACGAAAGCACTCCCCTGCCCCTTTCCACAAACACACGTCCTCCTCCGAAGGAAGTCCCAGCGTTCTCAGTTTTAATATCTCAGCCTCAATCATGAGTAGAGTTTCCACTCTATGTCGACGTCTGCGGTAATTCTGTATCACATGTTCCACCGTAGCATCAATATGAATACCCAAATCAATGCAACCCCTCAGACCTGTTAGCTCAAATAACCTCCCCAACGAACACCACTGATCAAACCAAAAAGATACTTTGGAACCACTTCTGATTTCTACTCTAGCAAATGATTGAGCAAGAGTTCTATATTTCAACAATTTTTTCCAGATCCATGAACCAAGCGAGCTTTTTTCGTTTGCGTTCCAAAAGGAACCTTTGCGAATCAAATATCGTTTGATCCATTGGACCCACAATGTATCTTGAGATAGAATTCGCCATATAAGCTTAAGAGAACACACTTTATTCGCTTCAGACAAAGAACGTAACCCTAACCCTCCCTCCTCTTTTGGTTTGCAAACATTATACCAAGATATCTTTGCCTTTTTTGAACTCATGGCTGGCCCCGACCATAAGAAAGCTGAACATAGACTATCAATCTCCTCAATACATTGCTTTGGCAGTCTATACACTGACATCCAGAAGGTAGTGATGCTATGAATTACAGAGCCTATTAACTGGAGACGTCCTGCAAAGGAAAGCTGTCGAGCCGTCCAGGTTGTGATGCGTTTCCTTATTCTCTCTACTAGTGGAGAGTAGTCAGTTGCTGTCATTCTTTTTGTCAGAAGAGGGAGGCCAAGGTACCTCACAGGGAGAGAACTTGATTCGAAAGGAAACTGGGCGAGAATGTCATGTCTATCTTCCTCTTGCAAACCAGCCATAAACAGCGTTGATTTCTCCAAACTTATGCTCAAACCCGACATCCCCGCAAAGTCTTTAAAAACCTGGAGAATGCCCTCTATAGAACTCTTCCTGCCATCTGCGAAAATCAGTAAATCATCTGCGAAACAGAGATGAGTCAACTTAATATCAGAACAGTAAGGATGGTATCCAAACTTTTTCTCCACAGCCGCCTTATCAATAAGCTTTGACAGCACTTGCATACATATCACAAAGAGATATGGAGATAAAGAGCATCCTTGACGAAGCCCTATAGAACTATTAAAATAGCCAGCAAGTTCCCCATTGATCTGAACAGAGAAAGAGGCCAATTGTATGCACTTCTTGACCCAAACAATAAACTTCTCTGGAAGCTTGATCGCAGATAGAATAGACAATAAGAATGGCCATTGGACTGAGTCGAATGCCTTTGATATGTCGATTTTAACTGCACATCTTTGAGAGACGGTAGGTTTGTGATAGCTTTTAACCAGCTCAGAGGCAAGTAGGACATTCTCCATAAGAAGACGATCCTTTACAAATGCAGATTGGTTCATCGCAATAAATTTCGGTAGAATTTGTTTAAGTCTGTTGGCCAAAATCTTTGAGATTACCTTGTATATTACATTGCAACATGAGATAGGCCTGTAGTCTCCCATACGAGTAGCCTCATCCTTCTTAGGTATAAGAGCCAAGATCGTGGAATTGATGCCTTTTGGGAGGAAACCCTTATCAAAGAAAGATTGCACTGCCACTGGTGAGATAGAATCTATGATTCTTATTCGGAGAAGTTGTCTAGAGAGGTCTTTGGACCGAAGACTAACTCTGTCAAGGAGTCATGAGTCAGCACTCATCGCCGGTTGACTTTTTAAATTATTGTTTTATTTTGATAAATTTTCATGGAATGCGCCACTAGCCCAGTGGTAAACTACCTTGCAATTTAATCCGATTAACTCGGGTTCAAGTCCAGTGGTCTACGGCTTTTTATTTTAAACCGGGGCTTCTAGCTCAAGTGGTAAAGGGCTTACAGCTGTGAGTACCGCCACCTAGGTTCGAATCCCGGCCACTAAGAAATTAACATTTAAATGAATACACTTTAGCAAAGTGGTATAAGGAATCTAATTAAGTCTGCAAGTAATAAATAGTATCAAGTTTGTAGTCATACAAACAACAAAAGCTATGTTGTTTGTATTCAAGTATACGATTTCATATCCTCAAGTTGACATGATAACCCCGTGGGATATTGCATTATAATTTAGAGTTAATGAGTGCTTGAAATAAATAGGTGGAGCACTCTCATGATATAGTTTTCTAACCAACTTTGTAGACCTTTCATTAGAGTTTATGGCCATATTTCTCCATCTAATTAAAGCATGCACAATCGAAGTAGGAGAAGAATGGACCACGTACGATTACAAATACGACCAATACCTTAATTAAATTATATACGGTCTCAACCGTCTTCCTCTCCTTTCATCGCCATTTAATCATTAATCACCCTCCATCACGTTTCTATTTCTTTTTCCGCATATGTATGAAATTAGAACCGACAAAACTGTTTCTTAATTAACTAATGCTGGGACTTACCAGTTACCAACCACTCTACTGGTATACCCTAGTTTAAAGTCTTGTTCATACAGTCATATTATATAATTATGTACACATCTACAACTTTAAAGTCTAGTTCTTGATAGACTGTTCTCTTTACATTCAAGAAACAAAATCAAGGTTAATAAACTAAAAAGGTTAATAAAATCAAGGTTAATAAACAATTTGGTCGATTCGGTCTCTAGTCTAAACCATCTCCGTGGGATCAGGATACTCGGTTAGCAAAAAAAAAAAGTTAATAAACTAAAGCAAGTTAACATGCATTAGCACTCTTAACCCTCTATACACTCATTAAGATATACTCTTTCTATCCCCAAAATAGCAAAAAATAATATAAAATTATTTTGAAGATAAAATATGTATTACAAAAAAAATATTCCAATCATAAAATGGTCTTTAGAACTTAGAGATTAAAAATACCAACTAATATTAAAATGGCATATACATTTATAAAACATTTTCAAAATTGAAACAAAATAAATTTCTTAAACATCTAATAATGGAACACAAAAAGTATAGCTATGGTGGTTGATCACTACTATATCCATGATAAATTATTATAAAACATTTGTCGGTCAAAAGAATAAATAATATCCATATACATAATACATTGATGACACACATTATCCGATAACTAATTTATCATAACTCTCATGTATGTAATGTGACCATATATCTTTCTAGATATAAACATACCCAAACTTTTGGTCTGATGAGAAGTTCCTTATTACGAGAAACAAGGTTTTTAAACTTTAGTAGGTGTGAAGTCCTCATGTCTATAGCTTAAACTTGGAGATTAGCCAGTCTAATCATTATTTCCTTAATAGCTAGACCACCAGAAATAACGTTAAAAGAGGGAAAATTACATATAAGGTAAACATTTAATACAAAGTATTAAAAACTCTAAGCAATGCATACAAGCTTTGAACCCATTACCAATAATGTGATCTCCACGTCTCTCCCATAGTTAATGGGTAAGCATTAAGTAATGCATACACGTCCAACAGTATGATAGCCACCTTTCATTTATTTTCTAACCATTTCCTTGGCCTATGTAATATCTTTCGCATACATGTAATACGCTCATCCATAAGAAAAATCCAAAATAATTTAATAGCAACAAAATCAAAACACGATAAATATCAACACTTACAACCATGCAAAGAAGACTATTCTACAAAAGTAGTTCCTCTTTTCCCTTTACTTTTGTGTAAGTGTGGGTTCTAATAAACCTCTAGACACAATCTTTGAATCTTGTTTCCATTATTGTACTTAAAACTCCGACAAGAATCCGAAGACATAAGGAGAGTTTGTATAAAGATGTCGGGAAGAGTGAGAGATGAAGATGAGGAACAAGAAGATGATGAAGAAGATAGAGCTTCCTACTATGGTGGAGCCTCTATACCATTCATGTGGGAGTCAAGGCCAGGCACACCAAAACACAACCACTTTCCCGATTGCTCTTTCTCTCAGCCTCTCACGCCGCCTCCGTCTTATTACTCAGCCGAGATTTTGTCGACGCCAAAGAGACAGACGTCGTCACAGACCAAGGTGAGAACAAAACTAACTAGAATCCTATCGATGTCTCTGTTCTATGATCTCAGGAAGAGCAGTAGCAAGAAGACGGCGACGACCAACCATGTCTCTTCAGGGTCATCGTACTCGTGGTCGTCCACGTCTTCTTCATCTTCACTTTCCTCCTCGCCGCCACATACTTTGAGAAAACCGGTGAGTCATGGAAACAAATCAAAGTTTAAGTACGCTAGTTATAAAGACCACGAGCTTGCCTCGTCGCCGACATCGACTCTGTGTTACTCCAATGGTGGAAGAAAAGGGTTTACTTCTTCAATGGGGAGTGTGAAGAGAGCTCTGTTCTCTGGTCCTAGACATGGACCTGGTGACTTGAACAAAGCTTGAGTATGTGAATCTGTTGTGTTCTTGATTCATTCTATGTTGCTGCTTTGTGTCATTGAACAGAAAAAGTGTTGTGATGCTTTGATGTATGAATGTAATATGATGTATATATATATCTATAAAACTTGTGTTGTAAAGTGTAAACTGGCATTTTTAATTGCATTCTAAAACCAATAAAGTTATCCCAGTAGAAAGAAGTCAAAGATTATAAACTGATATTGGCATGACATGTGTATGAGGGATAGATCAGTGAAACATTTCGTGTGAGAATAAGCCTTAGCTATACAGTGATACGAATGAACGAACGGATTAAGGTGTGTTATTGATGATATCCTTAAGATAGTTATCACTTAGTCTAAGTCGCTATCAGATACCTCTTCTTCTGCAAGCTCAAATGCATCGATCTCTGCAAAGTAAGCTCTCTGCTTCTCGATATACTCCTGAGAAAGTCCATTAGCCACATTATCTTCCTCATGCTTTGTCGTTCGCTGCCTCTGTAATGTAACCAACCATATATAGATACGTACAGAATTAGAAACTGGAGAATTTTTAGAAGGCTCCTTGAAATGGATATAAGTTGCATATCTCATTGAACAACAAGAGCAGAGCAATCCCATGAATATACTAAATCCACTTTTTAAATAAAGAGAAGAATATAAATGCAGTGATATACTAGACATCCATCTTCCAACTATGTGTAGCCCTGGTTTCAGGAATGATGACAAAACAATGTTGTGATCAATCATTGTTGAAACAGACGATGCACTAATATACATTATGCTAGAGGTAAAACAAAACGAGGCAGACACAAATAATTACTATTTTTTCCATACCCAGAAAGATGTGAGCAACATAGAAACTATTACAGTTGTGATAAGTTTATAAATGCTAGAGGTTTCTTGAATTCACCTTTATGGGAGCCACTTTCGACGTCTTGACTGTGTTTTCATTTGCTTGACGTCTTTTCTTCCTGTGATACACATTTCAAAAAAAAAAAGACTCACTTAAACAACAACATGCTTAAATTTTACAAAACGCTAAACAACTTTGATGGGCATAATAGGTTCAACACTAAATTACCACTTATCTCATCTAGATCTCTTCCTGATAAGATTCTTTTCAAAAGAACAGAACAGCCAAAAAAATAGAGCACATACTATGTTTTACCCGGATTCTACTCCCCCACAGCTACCATCAGCTAAGTCAAACAAGATCTTATTCTCCAAGTTCTTCCAGTAATCCAAAAATTTCAACAAGCCTTACTAAAAAAAGACATGGTTGAAAATCTTACACAGTCCACAAAAATGGTAAACAAATTCGAATGAGCATGACTCATGAGTGAGTTCAACACTTATACTATAGCTATCTCGATATAGATTCTTAACAGAACAAGCCACAACAAGACACCATCGAATTAAGTAGTATTAAGTAAAAAGATTCCATATGTCCACAGCTACCATTAGTCTTTATACAATCATATATACCACTGGAAGAGTTTCATACCCAGGGTTAGGTATCAAGTCAAGACGAAGGCTAGCCACTGCACTAGAGGAAGAAGCTACTTTGTTACTCTTTTTTCTACCAGAAGCAGCCTTCCTTGTAACAGTGTAAACCGAGTAACGCTCAGCAACCTCCTTGTCACCACCACCACCAACTCCGCCTAAAATCATAACTAACCTCTTAAAACATCAGCTTAACATAAGAAAAGACACATATAACCCTATTAATTAAAATCAAAAATTCAATTGCAATTCCATCAGGATAAGATTGAAATCGATAAACAACTTATTAGAGATAATGGAACAAACAAATAAACCAATAACAGAATAATAAACCGGTCGGTTTAACATACTAAACCCACTCATCTATTCGACATACTCTGTTTACAACTTACCCTCCCCGGAGCAACGCGACGCCGGAAAATCCAAATCGCTAGTACACACACGGCGAGTCACAAGCCTTCCGCGCGTGGAAACACCTTCCGATTCATCGACATCTTTGCGTTTCGAAGGCGTAGGCGACGGAAAACTCAGATCGGCGGAGACACGGCGAGTCACGGGCCTCAGGTTCGTGGAGAGAGACTTGGGAGGAGGAGCGGTGGTTACGGCGGCGTCGTTTTGTGTCTTGTCCTTGAGAGAGGAGGTTTGATTTATTAACCTCTTGAGAGAAGAAGTGAGGTTTGGATTCGCGAATTTGAGGGAGATGGTGGTGTTGGTGCAGTCTCCGAGGGGTTTTCTGTTTAGTCTTCTTGCTGTGATGGGGCGATGAGGTGCCATGTGTCCTTCTCCGGTGAGTCGGGGATTTTTGGGGTTTTGGCGGGAAGGGTGAGAGGAGTGTGGGAATTTTTGGGAAGGAGGAAGAGTTCTGAGGAAGTCTTGTAAGTTGGATTTATGGGCCTAATTTGGTAAATTATTAATGGGCCTAGATCATTAAAAACATTACCTATTGTAGTATGGGCCTAATTTGGTATATTATTAATGGGCCTTGATCTTTAGAAATCAATACGTATTGTAGTGTGTATACCATGATCTATTCCAAAAAGGGTGTTTTTAAGTTTTTTTTTTTTGTTTTTGATTAAATTTTATATTGATTAATAAAAGAATGAATGGACATTTATATTAATACTAGGTGTTCTGCCCGCACATGCGGACTTAATTATTTTTAAGATAATTTAAAAAATCATCAAAATAAATGATTATTTTTCATCCAAAAAATTCGACGTAAAACATTAAACGTTTTTACATGATAAAATTATTCACAAATTAAAAGAAAATATATTTTTTTCCTTTAATACTTTGAAAAAAAAATTAAAATCTATTTCATTTCTTCTTAATTGATAAAAAATATAAAAACTTATCTTTCAATTTGATAAATTGAAACAATAAATATACATTTAAAAATTGATCTTACAGAAAGAATAATATTCGTTTGGATAATACTACAACATATTTGAATTTATTTTGTCAACAACATTATCTTTTTTTATTTTTGAATAATCTTTTATTTTATTATGATTAATTTATGTTTAATGTTATACTATATAAAATATAAAAATAAATTTAATTTAATGTGTGAGTTCAGAGGTGAAAAATTACTTCACAAATATATATCATTATATTATATTATTATATTCTTTTAATTTGAAAATAATTACGTATTATAAAACAGTTAATTTATGAATATTTATTTATATGTTTTCTGTTTTTGATTTTTTATTAAAATATATTTTTCGGATAACAACACAATATATATAGGAATTATCTTCTTCTTTTTAAAATATATATTTTGATTATGGATAATTCTTATCACTAATATTAATTTAAATCATTTATCTAATCAAATAAGTATTAAATTCGTTTTTATTTTTGGCTAATTTATATATTTTATTCATTAAGGGTATAATCGATATTAACCACTCCAACTTTTAACGTGAGAGTTCTGTTGCGAAAAATCACAAAAATCACTTCGCAAATAATAGTATAGATTATAGAAAACATTTCGGTTTTTCTTCTATTATAAGTGATGTGTTTATTAAATATCTTAACATTTAGGATGCAAAAAAAAGTTAATTAGATGTTGGATTTGGAAATATGAACTATTTGACAACAGTTTGTTTTATTTGTACCCTCCTAAATGATAAATAGTTACTTTTACAATATGGAATAAGAAGAAAGGGTTTTTATTTATTTCTCACCATGTTGGAAATATTTACATTTTATATACAATAATCAATATTTTTAGCAATCGGTCCAAAAATTCGTGTAAAAAATCATTAAATTGTGTTAACCGGTTGATCAAAAACCTTCCATTAAAATGTCTAAGTATCTACTATTCAGAATTGTAAATTAACTTATAAAAGAATGGTCACTACTTTTAGTAGTGACGGTAAGAGTGAATACAGCCGACAAAAAAAAGAGTGGATAAAGCAAACTTATAACATATTGTTTCCAGTGTGGCTTTATACACTCAGAAATTTGATAGAACAGTTCAAAGCCCACATGTATAGATACTGAAAGTCTGAAACTTATTCTCTTCAAGTGTGACTAGTGAACAAACCAACGTTGAATGTCAATATTTTTTTTGTAACTTAAAGTTGAATGTAAACTTTTGAAGGAACCCATGTAAATATAAAAATATTTTAGTACTTGGTACTACAACAAAAGATGTGTAGTACATGTACCTCACAACATTCTCTCATTCCTTTGTACTTTTGACCATCCGTTAGTGGATTTTAAAGTTGGTAGGCTTTTTCCACAACCGGTGTAACTAATCTTCCTAATACTTTATATTCTATTGGAATATGGTATGTGCATTCATTATAATAGTGCGTTCGTTTCCTTCACGCTAACTCCTATTCTAAAGGATTCTATGCTTCTTGCGTTGCTATAAATTATCGACAACACACCATAACTTCTCATTCAGCAAATCACAAAGATCTCATTATCTAATTTGGATCATCGATCAAAAGCTTCTTGCTTCGTTTCATCTAATTGTAGCCATGTCTCAGGTACTTTGATCTCTCTGCCTCTCACATTTTTCTCTTCATCTTTTGGTGTACGTCTGTTTTTTTAGTCTGGTTCTTCTTGGCTATAGAAAGATGAGTTAATGTTTTGAAGAGCCAATGAACCTACAAAAATGCATGGACGTTCACTAGTGTTCGCTTCAAAATGATGCTAACAATTGTTTAAACTAATTATTGATTTAGATATAAAATTACCTGTTGGAATATATGGATTTTGGTTCTAACTTTTTTTTTCGAATTAAAATGCCTAATAAAAGCAGACCGTTGTCCTTAAAGTTGGTATGTCATGCCAAGGCTGCGTTGGAGCCGTTAATAGAGTTTTGGGAAAAATGGAAGGTATTGTAATCCTTTAATCTTTTTTTTTTTCATTTTCTTAGATACTTTCTATTAGACATTTTTATTTTTATGCCTTGTAACTCGCTGACTAATGGATTCATAATCTATAATATCAGGGGTTGAGTCATTTGACATTGATATAAAGGAGCAAAAGGTGACAGTGAAAGGTAATGTTGAACCTGAAGCAGTTTTTCAAACAGTTTCAAAGACTGGAAAGAAGACTTCATACTGGCCCGTGGAAGCTGAGGCTAAGGCCGAGACAGTGACTGAGACTAAGACTGAGGATAAGGTTGATGCAAAGGCTGATGTTGAACCAAAACTCGCTGAAGCTGAGACTAAGCCATCAAAAGTTTAAATACTAAAGATGACAATGAGTCTTAATATCCGTATTTCAAATACTTCTTATTATCTTTCGCTTGTCTGTTGTTGTAAGAGCTAAGAGATTTATGGTTTCTCTATGTATCTAATTCTTTTCAACTATTGAAAACAAGATGTTGGACCCATGTTGTTCTAACTTCTTTTATTAGTATAAGTTTTAAGTGTTTAACTGATGTTTGACAAAACAAAAACAAAAGTGTTTAACTGATAATACTGCGGAAATCTTTGACGTATGGACTTATTAATAACTTAATCCATGCAAAAAAAATGGAATGTTGTGTATTAAAGTTTAAACTGAAACGTTTATATGAGAGGGTTAAGGTTTGATTTTATTGTACCAGCCCAAAATCAGTTAAAACTGTGGTTGGTTTTCTAGACGTGGCTTTAAAGTTACACAAACTTGTGCTAAGACTCGGAAAGCACACGTTAATATCATCTTTAATAGTATTTTATGAGTTGATTAGTATTTTACTCAAAAGGTAAATTAATATTGACGCTATATATATGTATAGATGGAGCAACGTGCTTACACGACACATATTTGCTGTTGAATGGTTGGAAAGTCTTTTTCTTTTTCGCCAACTTTTAAGTCTTTTAGCTTTTGAAGTTATCATATCTCAAACCTCCACATTCTTATTTCCTTTAATTAATTGTTCATTAATTAACGCATCATCGGTCATGTACATACAAAGCATATCCAGCATACAAATAAATGAATAAGTACGTGATGTAAACAAAAAAATGAATAAGTACGTAATAAGAATAATGTTACTATCCATGAAAGCTAATTAATTTTTAATAATATTCAATGAAGGTTCCATGTTCCAACTAGACAACTCCTCCCCAAAAAGATTCCTTCATGACTTAATCATTTTCGTTGTTTTATTTGTTAAACTATTTTCAACAACTCTTTACGGAAACAATCATGTATCTTGTTGATTATCAACGAAAAATGTATATATAAAAATGTTTTCAAGAACGTAGCCATCTCTAACCAACTCTTGAACAATAATTTAACAACTTGAATTCAAAGCAAGAAACTGCTCATCATCCATCATCTCCCTCTGGTGATCTTTTTTATATACTCAAATTTACTCCAAAAAAACACAAAATGGATTGCTCAATTTGCACTACAATGCCATCTATTCTACGACCACCGAGAAACACGATATGCGGATCATGTTACGACGGAGCTCGAACCATTATCTCGTTGCTCAAGAAGCTTGAGGGCTCAAACGAAGATCAAGATCATGTCAAGTTGACCGATAAGTCCACCGTCAACAATGGCTCCTCTCTTTCTTCTTCTCCTTTGTTTTCTCGTGAGGTACGCTTCATAAACTTATTCTCATGTATGTTATTAAAAAGCTACTAAAGTTTATATACATAATAAATCAATATATATATTTTCCGGGTTTATATGTTATATTCCAGCTGGAACCATTACAAAAGGTGATCAAATGGATGAAAAACATTAAAGAAACAGAAGAGGAGCAGAAGAAGAGAATAGTGTTCTTGAGCAGCTTTGTTTCGGGATTCAAAGAAGAGCTTCATACTGATATTCTTTTAAAACCTGGCGATGATGGACCTCCTATTCCTGCACATAGAGCTTTGTTGGTAAATTCAATGATCTCTAGCTCTATTTCAGTGTTTCTTATATATATATGGCATGTATTAGTTTTCTTTTTGTTTGGAATTTTGTGGTTCTTTTATACGTTTATAGGTTATATATTAATATGTTATCCATTCGCATCAAACAATACTTTATATGGATTTAATAAAAACTTATTACTCCCTCCGTTTCATTTTAAGTGTCGTTGTAGAAAAAAAAATTAGTTACAAAATAAGTGTTGTTTTCGGTTTTCAATACAAAATTTATTAAATTTATTATGTAATTTGTTGCTCTATTGGTTAAAATATGGTTAGGTGTATGGGTAATTGTGTTTTTATATACGAAAGATGTAAAATTATTTGTTTCTCTAATTCGTGTGCAGAACTCTAAAATGACACTTGTAATAAAATAGAGTGAGTAGCATTTTATATGGTTGTTTTCTTTACAATATATTGTAAGAAATAAAATTATTTTTGCATTAAAGAACAAAAAGGGATATAAATATGTAAACACAAATAATGCAACCGTTAATTTTTTTTTCCAATCGAGACTAACACCAATATGTAAATTTTGTGTGCTATAGGCTTCAAAATCCGAGATCTTCAAGAATATTTTAGATTCAGACGAATGCAAAACCGCTCCAGAATACGCCATAACGCTCCAAGAACTAAACTCAGAGGAGCTTCAAGCTCTCTTGGAGTTTCTATACACCGGCACATTGGCTTCAGACAAGTTGGACAAGCATGTATACGCCTTGTTTCTTGCAGCCGATAAGTACATGATTCATTACTTGCAAGAGTTCTGCGAGCAACATATGCTTAGTTCCTTGGAAATATCTAGCGTTCTTGATGTTCTTGATGTCTCGGATCTTGGTTCGAGCAAGACCTTGAAGGAAGCTGCTCTAGGGTTCGTGGTTCGAAACATGGACGACATTGTTTTCTCAGATAAATACGAAGAATTTTCACAGAAAAACCAGCACTTATGCGTTCAAATTACTAGGGCGTTCTTGATGGAAACGAGAAAGAAGAGATGTGATTAAATTAGTGAGAGATGAAAAAAAAAAGTGTAATAATCTTTTGTATGTTTTGTTGTTTATAGCTGTTTTTGATCATCCAGGCTCCATAGCAAATTAAATGACTTTACTACTCGCCTTCTTTGTACACATTCACGTTTACAATACAACTTTTTTTTTTCTTTTGAATGATGGCAAAAAAAGAAGTACTTAAGTAAGCATCGAGATAATTAAGTAATCAATATATGATTTTCTGTATGAACTGAATTCATATTTACTCATACTTAATTTATTTATCTCAGTCAACGTTCATCGTTCACTAATTCGTCCGTTGTGGTATTTAACTTAAACAATCACTTTTACAAAAAAAAATGTTAGTAATGAGCAAATGGATTAGTGATTCGAATGGACGACAACAAAAAAGATCAGTTTTTACAATTATTTATATTACAAGAGAAGTGTCCTTCTGCATGTTTATTTTGATCAAATTATCAAAAATATTTAGTGATGAAATTACTAACTTGATCCCAAAGAAACTTACTTTAGACATTTGATTAATTAGAGAGACATACAATTGAACTTTTCCTTGATCATATGTCTAACTAAGAACCCTTTTTAGGTCAAACAAATTATAAATATATATATATATAGAGAGAGAGAGAGTGATGAATACTTGATCCGTTTTTACCCTTTTGGATCATGGCTATCACTCCAGGTCCTGACTGCTTCTGAAACTGCCTGTTTCACTGCCTCAGCATCCATGCTTTGACCATCATCATTCTTAGAAATCATTATCCATAAGTGTTAAATATAATAAATATATAAATGGACTAATATGTAATGATGACGAGGGATCAGTGTTTATACATTTGATATTCCAATGGCATGCAAGCTAAATGTGTCTGTACAGGAAACCCTAGCTTCAACAACTTCAAGTCCAAGATCTTCAAAGGCTTCAAGAACACAAACCAACATGCCTTGCTCATTCTTACCAGACATAATGTTTATCATGAATCCCTTCTCTAGGGTTTCCACTGTAACCTATCATCAGTACCAAAACCCCAAAATCAACTAAAGCAAATATGCGTCAAAGACTTGAAGGGTACATATATGTTTATATACCATAGGATCGGTAGGATCACATAAATATTGCTCAGACGTGGTCTCATTGTTGATTTTTTCGACTTTATGCTTAAGTTTTTTGATATATTTTGATGCATCCTCTATTATCGATGTTTCGCTCTCCTGAAAAATGTGCAGTATCAATAGTATGGTTGAGTTTAGATTCTCAAAGTACAGGTTTAGTCCAAGAAAATTCCCATTTCAGTTATTAGTGTATCTTGTTATAAATATATTTATGTATGGCTAGGAAGGAATCAAGTAACTAAAATTTGAAGAGACAAAGAGAACTTTTCTTCCAAATAACATAGTACTAATCGGAGTAGTACTTAAAATCAAGATTTAATCCATGTATCAAACAAACAAAAAAGCTTGTGTTATACATTGAAATGGAGTAGAGTTTGATCTCTAATGAAAGAAACAGAGATAGAGATCACGGATAAACTGGTGTGGGCATATGATCAATGGAATACTTATGATTTATTCTACATATATAAATAGTACGACTGAATTGGGTTATGAATATAATGAAGAGATCGAATCATATCAACATAGAAACAAAGTTAAAAAGAGAATAGTGGAATGTAATTACAGCATGTGAGTTAGTGATTGAGCGAAGCAGCTGAAAATTCTCACGCAGAGAGGAATCTCTCTTGTATTCCTTCGAAACCATATTCTTCAATGCTTTAGCTTCTTCTCCTCTTCGGTTTCTTTTCTATATATATGTAGAGGAATTAGAGAACTGAGTTTCTTTAATTTTTATAGAATCCTCTCGTCTCTCACATGTCTACTTTTAGGGCTGGGCATTTTATTCGTTATATTTGATTCGATTCGTTATTCGTTTCGATTCGATCCGAAAATTCCGGATATCCGTAAACTTTCGAATCAAAGCAAATACTAAAATTCAATATCCGTTAAAATCGAAGCAAATCACAAATATTAAAATTTTGGGAAGCGGATATCCGATCCGATCCGTAAATATATAAATATATGNTGTATTAATCAAAATGGATGAGATATCCGTAAATATTCGTAAATATCCGCAAATATCTATTTATTTTCCGGATATCCGTTTTTCCGGATATCCGTATTTTTTCGAAGCAAAGCAAATACCAAAATTAGATATCCGCAACATTCGAATCAAATCACAAATACCTTAAAGAACCCGGATATCCGATCCGTGCCCACCCCTATCTACTTTATAGTCTGGTGATGATCTCGTCATCGCTACAAGATGTGTGATATATACAGACAAATCCTTTTGGTATCTCGTGAATCACTTGATTGCCTCTATGTCTAGTTACACGATATTCCATATTATATTATTATTTTAAATATACAATACTTAACGTTAGAAAACTTACGAACGTGTGTGGGTAAATTTCGGTGTAATGAACTTGTACATGCACATCTAGAAACAGTCATTGATAAACTTTGTGAATTACCTTGAAGCGATCATAAAGTAAAGATAGGATTACATTCAGTCAACATGACCTTCAAAGAAAAAACATGAAATTTAAAGAGCCCATGAAGACTAATATTGTTAAATTAGGCATGAGCGTTTTTACTCCATACCGAAATCTTGACTTTAATCCGAACAAAAAATAACCAAATTCGATCTGAATCTTTATAAAAATATCTGAACAAGATTTAGAAACTATGTACTTTTGGGTTCGAGTACAGCGGAACCAATCTGAAAGTTGTCATAGGATCCAAAATATATCCGAAATTAATTAAATATCTTTTTAATACATGTAAAGATAATTTAGATATTTTAAGAGTATTTTATAGATTTTTATAGTTTTTCTATTGTTATTTAAAACATTCTTAGTTAGTGTAGATGATTTTTTTTGCGAGATGAGCGAGGGCCGTGCAGTATCGCAATACATAAACTCATATAGCAAGTTATTTTACCGGACTTTTTTCTTTAAAAATAAAATTAATATCGTGTGAATTGTGGGCCACATATCATGTATTGAACTGATAAGAAATAATATGATACTTGATCTTAGCCAAAAGGCCGAAAATGTATTAATTAGTTTTGATAATTTAATTAGTTTTTTGAATAATTTATATATTATGGGTATTTTGATTAATTTTTTTTCTTTAGATTTGTGGGTGGTTTAAATATTGGTTATAACCGATCTGAATCGAACTCGATCCAAAAATTAGTAAACCTGAATGGAATTATGAGAATAATATCAAAAATTCGAAAATCCGAATCAACCAAACTGAATCTGAACGGGACACTGAGTGCTCATGCCTAATGGAAACCATTGCCTATGTCATTCCGTTATACACTTGAATTTCATATCTAAACAGATACATCCATCACGTTTGGGATATAACTTCCAATCGTGAACCGCAAAACTTCAAGGGTATATGTGCTACAACGGTCCAATTCTAGTGAGCACTGATCATGCTTATAATCTACATTCATCGTCCTTGTCTCGTCTTAATTGTTCTTGGCCAACTCTCTTCAAAGTTTTATATACATTTGTGCTTTTGGGTTCTTGAGTAATGTTGAGATGGCAAAAGTGAAAAAACGAAGAAGGAAACCATGAGCTCGTAATGGATGAAGGAATAAAACTGTAAAATATATAATACTGAAATACAATGGGAGCATCGAAAGAAGTGAAAGGAGAGGATAAAAGCAAACAGAAGAATGTTAGTTGTGATTTTGGAATGCCTCCAAACACTTCTCACGGGCATCTTTATGAGTTCCCTCATCACTCTTCACTATCCACCATCTAATTAGTTATATATAATAGGTGTATATACACGTATTACGTATGTGAACCTTACATATGTGCATGCATAGATAAATCATACACCAATTCTTAACGAGCATCAATGCAAGATCACAAAGCTACTAGCTACTTTTCATTTTCTAATTGTTTAATACTACCAAGACCATACAGTTACGATGTACTAATTTTTTTTTGTAACACTGATTAGATTCAAGCACAATTATTAAAAACCCCCCAATATTGCAATGTAGATAGGAAAAAAACTTCTTAAAGTTGAATTTACGTTAGGAAAGCAGCCAAGATTTATCATATAAGTACACAAAGTTTCCTGATTACTACTACACATCCATTTTAAAAACATTCAACACTGTACACGAGGCATATATGCGTATGATATCATGAAATGTGATGAGTAGAATATATGGAATTGTCTGTTTATTCCACAAGGACATATAAAAGTACCCATCAATTCACATGTCACATGTGTACCGATTAATCATATCATCACAAAATAACACACTACACAATAGACAAGCCCTTTCTAATCACGTATAGCCTCGTAGATATCCTACTAGTTCTCATATTCTTCTAGTTTTACAGTCTGTTTTCTACTCTTTAATTATATTTTAATTAAAAACGAAATATAGATATTTAGGATTTTAATTGCTCGTATTTGCCAAAGAAATGGCACTCACGTGACTTTCACTTCGGGAAGTACATTCGTATTCACATGCATAATTTGACAATATAAAATTTTAAAAAATAAACATATTAATCTCTGAAGCTGAGTAAATAAATGGCTTCGTTGCCCATAGCGTGTAGCCGTGTTGTAGAGGGAAAGGGACGTGAACGAGAGAGTTGGACATCAAAAGTTCATATGCAATCTTCCGATATACATTCTACAAGAAAATATATTTATACTACTGTTGCTTATATAGAGGTGGCTTTGTGTCCACACACTATTGTACTTAAACGTAAGAGCGAAATTAAATTTATCTCGTGAAAATTGTTGAGTGGTAATTATTTCCTACTCGTGAACAATAGTTGTGTAACACATTACAAAGAAAATGCTACATTATAATTTACTAAATAATTTCCTTTACATGTTTTTTTTTGAACTGAGGTTTAATAATTTCCTTTACATGTGTGTAGTAAGAAACACAAACCTGACACGTGAGGTTGATAGAAATGTGACTCTGGTTAACTATAGAGACTAGAGAGACATAAAGAGAGGAGTGGCCGAGAAGACAAAAACGATCACGGTATAATGTCACAATGCCTTTTTTGGTGGAAGTATGTCAACTGGTTTCTAAATGTCACGTTAGAATGAAAGTCAGTTTTCAAATTACTTGAAAGTTGAAACCATATATTTTTATATAGTTAAAAAATACTGAAATTATTCAGAATTTATAGCTAAAGTAGAGCCTGCAACGAGTGTTTAGAAAGAATATGGTACGTACTGGTTTTGTTAATTTCAGATATACATTTGAATCTAAATGGCGTCAAGTTGTTACAAGCATTTTACAGTTTACACAAACAAAAAGGTGGCTTAGAAACGAATGTAATAATTTCTTAAAATTATACTATGGGTAAGGGATTAATTAATAGATAAACTAATTGTCCTTTTCATCTCTGATTTGGACTAATAAATAAACTAATTTTCCATTTCATCTTTGATTAGCATATAGGATAAATAATTATATATGTCATCTCTTCTTCTTTTCTCCCTAGTATATGTATATCCGTAATAAAAACAAAATATAAAATATGTAAGAAGGTCTCGTGTTTATGACAGCTATATTTCCTTTGTCTGCTCTCTATATGTATTGTATCTCTTGTCCGAATCAAATATTCATTCCATGACACCTAAATTCACATATTTATTAATTTCAGATTTTAACCAAAACTGAAAAATCCAATATTCTTGCATAGGCTACTAGACTAACACCACGTCCACGTGAGAATAGATCATTAGCCGTTTTCCATTGTTTTAGAGAAAACGGTTATTGTTATAATCTCATGAACCTAACTTATATTACATGATTAAAGTGTTAAAATTCGTTGTCTCGTTTGATCAATTCAATTTAATTTAATTATAATGAGCTTGACTACATGTTACGGGTGATTCAACTCATTTCATGTGAAATTCTGACTACAAATATGGAACTACAATCCGAAGTTCTTTGATCATTTATGGCTTTAATCCACATAAATCTCTTGGTGTATATATGATGCATTGTCCATTTCTCTCAGTCTCTCTCTATCTCTCGTGACATATGGGTGTTAGAAGACAACTCATTAGTTATAAACTCCAAGATGTGAATTTGCATGGACCGTAATTGAAACTTTAGAAAGAACTGAAAGGACAAAACTAAACATTGAAAACATATATTAACAAGAATGCACAAAACAATACCCATTCCCATCTGCCCCACTCTCCTCTTCTAAGTGCCAAAAAATTATCTTAGAGAGTTAGGTCACGGGGGCGGCTTTTATCTATAAATCAAACATCACTCCTTGTTTTTTCTTTCAAATAATTTTGTTCTCTATTTTTCACATAGCATATATATATATTACTATATAACTGAAGAAACTATATGATTATCTTTTTTTTTTGTATTTGGGCATATACAATATAGTACTTGTTCTAATACATTTTGGTCAGTAAAATTAATCATTATCAAAGAAGAAAAAAAATCGTGAATCTTTCGAAAGTTATCTCGTATCCACAAGAAAACATTTGAAGAACTCAAGGATAATATTGTGATAAAGCTCATTAAACATAGTTTAAGATAACCAGGAGTGATCTAGTGGTAAGCGGACTTTAATTTAGGAAACTAAGCCATCTGAATTCAAAGAAACTCTACAATATTAAACATCTTTGACCACATGGGTATTGTACCATGCTTTGGACCTTAATTGAATATCCGGAGAAAGATGGTTTATCTGTGGATTACATTTCTTCTTAGGTGATCAGTATGAACTCTTACATAGAATCTATGGCATACCCAAGTCAATAATTTTGTGACTTTGTGGGCAAATTTTTGTTTTTTTGTTTTAGACGCCAATAGTATAAGGCCAGGCCTGAAGTTATCATTATGAAAGAAAATAAAAAAATGTGTGTCATTCAACGAATATCTCATTGTTAGAGAGGGAAACTTGTTTACAAGAAAACTACAAAAGTGAATAATACAGAAAAGGAAAAACAGATCATAGGCCCATATAAGTTTCAACTTGAAAGCCCAAAGGCCCATTAAAGACATCTCTATTTTTAAATTTTGCCAAAATTACATCAAAGCTACCAGAGAATTAAGTTTCTCACAATTTAGGACCAAAGAACCTCAACTACACACAGGTGGTCGTAGAAGAAGACGAGAGAGAGAGAGGAAGATCACAAAGCTCTGATAAGTCATGCGAATCTTTGCTGCTCGCCTCGCTAACGTAAATTTCCGACACTCTTCATCTTAAAAAGCTTTCCTTTTTCCAAAATTTTATCTACTTTTTGTTTTTGTAACATAAATGGCTTTAACGGTTTTGTCGTCGCCATCGATTCAACTAAAATATCTGAAAGTGAAATTTGCAGCATTTTCGGAGAGGAGGAAATGGGTATCCTCAATCTCGAAACTTCTCCTCGTTGACCAAGAAAGGTTCCTCCTTTTTATCTCCTCTTCTCTGTCTTGTTTTTTTTATTTCAGTTTTTGTCTTAATCTGTCTGCAGAGATGTCTCGTGGGATTAAGATAAGAGGTTGAAAGCCTTTTCATTTAGACACTTTCACATTAGTTAATAATCTCATTTGCTTGTAATTTTACTCCAAAGTGGTTACTTTGTTTGATCAGTTAGTACTTTAAGTAGTTTACTTTTAGTTACAGTGATGAGATTAAGCATTGACTTGATAATCTCATGAGCTTTGGGTTAATCAAGTCCATTGTCACTTCACAGTAGTGAAGAGTCAGTTTTTCAGACGAGATGATTACATTTGCTTGTAGTTTTACTCCAAAGCTGTTATTTTGTTTGATCAGTTAGTACTTTAAGTAGTCTACTCTTAGTTACAGTGATGAAAGTAACCATTGATTTGATAATCTCATGAGCTTTGCTTTGGGTTCAGTAGTTGTAGTAACTAGTAATCAAGTCCATTGTCACTTCACAGTAGCGAGGAGCCTCAATTTCACTCAGGATAACCACATTTGCTTGTAATTTTATTCTAAAGTTGTTATTTTATTTGATCAGTTAGTTACTTTAGTAGTCTACTTTGATGAGCTTTGGGTTCAGTAGTAGTAGTAACTAGTAGTCAAGTCCATTGCAACTTCACAGTAGTGAAGAGTCTCAGTTTCAGTCAGGATAATCACATTTGCTTGTAGTTTTACTTCAAAGTGGTTACTTTGTTTGATCAGTTGGTACATGTGTAGTCTACTCTTAGTTACAGTGAAGAAAGTAAGAGCTATAAGAGTAGAGGAGGGACATAAATTTGGTGTTTGCTGATGTGTGCTTCCGTTTTAGTCGGGATAATCACATTTGCTTGTAGTTTTACTCCAAAGTTGTTACTTTATTTGATCAGTTAGTCTACTTTTAGTTACAGTGATGGAAGTAACCATTGACTTGATAATCTCATGAGCTTTGGGTTCAGTAGTAGTAGTAACTAGTAATCAAGTCCATTGTCACTTCACAGTAGTGAAGAGTCTCAATTTTAGTCAGGATGATCACATTTGCTTGTAGTTTTACTCCAGTGGTTACTTTGTTTGATCATTTGGTACATTTTGTAGTCTACTCTTAGTTACACTGAAGAAAGTAAGAGCTATAAGAGTAGAGGAGGGACTTAGATTTGGGGGTTTGCTGATGTTTGCTTTCGTTTTCTAGATGACCTTACATTGGAGGAAGAAGCTGAGAGGAAGATAGGATGGATGCTGAAACTTTTCTTTGCTGGGACAGCAACCTATGTTGGATACCAGTTCTTCCCTTATATGGGTATGTCAAACTCTATAGTTCTAAGCTTTATACATTCTTTGTTGTGTGCTTTACTGATGAGGTTTTACTTGTTACTTACTGGTTTTTAGGTGATACTTTAATTCAGCAATCAGTCTCGCTTCTACATGTGAAGGATCCCTTGTTTAAGAGAATAGGAGCTTCTAGGCTTTCCCGTTTCGCCATTGATGGTAAAGCCTTGATGGTTGTTAATACTTATGTAACTTATCTGGTCTCACCAGTGAACTTGTTGTAATCATTTTGGTTTGGGCTTATTAAAGATGAGAGGAGGATGAAAGTTGTGGAGTTGGGTGGGGCTCAAGAGCTTCTACATATGTTGGGCGCTGCTAAAGATGACAAGACAAGGAAAGAAGCTCTAAAGGCTCTTGCTGCTCTCTCTAAATCAGGCACGTCCTAATTTGAACACAATTCTGCTTTTGCATTTCATTGAACATAAGGGTTAATTTCTAATAATCTTCTTGAGTATGCTTAAAAGCCAAATGCATCTGGATTTTTAACTCTTCTTGTGCTGCAGATGAAGCTGCCAACTTCTTGGGATCTAAAGGAGCACTCTCTATCGTCAAATCAACTCCTGATTCAGCAGAAGATTCAGATATTTCAACTTACAAGTCAAACATACTCAAGAAGCTAGATGATAAAGACCTCGCCGTTACTTCCAACTAAGTTAGTCTTTTCAGAAAAAGGATAGGTCAAGAATCATAAGTGTAGGTGTATCTTTATAATCCTAAGCTTATTCTTACCTCCTTTCCAGTATAGAACTCTTGAATTTTTGTTCCAATTGAGTTATTCTTAATGCTGAATACTGTTTGATTCCAGTGTTCTTTGTTCATTTGAATAATGGTCTAAGAAAACAAGCAAGACCATGAATAGATTTTCCAGAATGTGTAACTTTTTTGGTTATCAACAAAATATTGCATTCCCTAAAGCTTATCACATTGCAATTTGCCAAATGCTATTTCACAAAGATACAATAAAAAAAATGCTATGGACAGCTAATAACTTTTACAGATTTCTTTTGAAGTGATCATAGAGGGGACTGTTTCCCAAACTCCTTTTCAAACAATCAGTTTGCTGTGAGACTGCACAGATTCGTTGAGATAGTGATTATGCTTGTAGCAACAGCAAGAACCAGCATTATTGCTGCTACCATCTTCTCCCTTGAGGTCGATACACCATGAACATTCCTACCATTTCAATATTTACATTAAACTTGAAACAACTGATAGAAGAAACAAAGAGAGAGCGATTGTACCTTAAGACAATGGCTGCTGGAAATATGAAAGCTATGGAAACTGTGGTGGTTGATCCCAAGAACTGAAAGAAGTACCAAATGTCTGGCACAGCGATTGCAGACAAGTAACCGCAAATGAGTATACTCAGAGTGAGTCCAATGAATCTGTTTGTGTCTTTTGCCAACGACAACGTCTTTGTTGGGAACATGAGCTCATCAAGATTTGCTCTCAATGAGAAGTTCATGAGAGGAAAGACAAGCATGAGGTGAAGCGCGTAGCTGAGTCTAACAATGTCATTGAGAAGAGAACCAATGGAAGAACCAGAACTCTCGTCGAAGTTCACTAGAATATCGGACATTGTTGCATCTCCAAACAAAAGATATCCAAAGAGTCCAGTAGCAAAGTAGATTGCAGCGCACAAGACGACAGAGATCTTTGTTGCTGGGATCATATGTAAAGGATCCTTGAGCTCGAATCCAATCGGATGAACTGCACTAAACACCAAACTCAAAAACATGACAAAAAGAAACAGAGAAGAATATTCTTACCGTTGAAATGAAACGTGAAGGCTGTTACTATAACAGGTGAAGCTGTGAAGAGATTCCAGAACGATCCTCCATTGGTTAAATCTGGAAACAGTCTTGGATTCTTCGTCTGTCCTTTCATTAGTGCGGTGATCGCAAGGACCGAGCTTATGAGGACAAAGAACACAGCAAGGAGAAACGATACAGCAGAACTAAACGCAAGTCTCTCTACACGTCTGCACAAGACCAATGGAAGCAAGACGAAGGCGTAGATAAACAACAAAGCGAAGATCCTTGTGTTCCACCAGTGAGAACCAAACCATTCTTGCAAAACTCCAAGATGAACTGATCCCCCATTTTCATTACCGGACAGCACATCTCCTGATAAGACAAAACACACAAACCCAAACTCATCAGCAACCTTGTTTTTTACTAGTTCGGATCAGGTTATAACTTAATGGTAGTAACCAATGTCTGAAATCGCCTAAAAATCTTTAATAATATTTTCATAATTGACCAAAAATATATAAATTATTTAATGTTTAATTTAAAATTAATAAAATTATCTAAACTAAATAGAAAATATTCAAAATACAAATAAAATAAACAAAAAGTTTAAAGTAGTCAAAACTATCTTTAAATACAATATAGAAACATTAGCATATTTAACTATTTTCGGATGTTTTCAGATCATAAATCGGATTTCGGTTAGTGTTATATAATTCAAAATTTAGTTTTTTTTTGTTTGGATTAAGATTCGGATTAAGGTTTGGGGGTAAAAACGTCTATACCATACTTCAAATAGTAACAAAAGCTTCATCCTTTACCTATGATGATGGAGAAAACAACTATGCCACCAAAAGTGGAAACCATTGTAACAACCTGAACAGCAACAGACCCTGTTTTCCCAAAGGACTCTTTCATAACTCCGGCATATGTTGTTGACTCTCCGGCCAGAGTTGATTTCATAAGGAACCCGACAGAGATCGTGGAGAGCCAAGCTACGATCGTGATGATCAAGAAAGCTGGGATTACTCCAAGAACCTTAAAAGCTGCCGGCATAGACATTATCCCAGCTCCGATAATACTCGTCGACACGTTGAAAACGACGCCGGAGGTAGAATCATGCTTCTCAGAAGAAGATGGTTCTTGATTCAGCAAGAGAGGAGTTTCGATTCGAGGAGACATTATTTTCCTCACGCAAAAGAAACTTTAAAAACTGGCCCGCGGGAAGAATTAAGTTTTTTTTTTAATTTTATATTTTTGTTTTGGTTTGTAATGTGTGACACGAAGAGATGACTTCTTATAGCTCACATGGAGAATCAGTGAAAGTACGTAAACACTCCTTGACGTTGGAGATGTTTGTTTCACTGCTGGGGGTACAAGCGGGAGAATGATATTTGAGATCATTGACTGTTCTGACAGGCTATCGCTGAGATCACCAAACGACCTTTCTTCACGTTCTTGAAAACGTATATACAATACAAAAAAATCAGGAAAATAATATTTTTGATAGGATTCACGAGTTTAAAGAAAATTACAACCTATTTTTTCTCGTTTTCTTCCCTTTAATTCTATTATTGTTCTTTTACAAAAATAAGAATAAAATATGGGTTCAGACTAGGCATGTGCATTCGGTTTCCGGTTCGGATAATTTGGGTTTTGGTTAATTTAGGTTTTCATTTCTAGTAACCAAATAGGAACCGCTTTAAAACCGATTCGATTCGGTTCGGTATGGTTACTTAGTTTAAGAACCGGTATGTAACCGATTTTTTTCAGTTATAATCAAACTAACCGAATTTTTTTCGGTTTCTAGACTAACTAGTTACTTTATACCCGAAATAACCGAGAAAACTAAAACAATATTCGGTTACCTGACTAGAAAACACACATAACAACTTAACAAGTAAAAAAAGAAGGAAAATCCAACCAAAGCAACACACAAGTTAAAATTCAACAACAACAACAACAACAAGCAAATATCAATTTGTTGTTGTGTGCTTTACTGATGTGGTTTGAATTAGGAGTCCCTTGCTGGTTTTAGGTGATACTTTGTTGATTCAGCAATCAGTCTCGCTTCAACATGTGAAAGATCCCTTGTTTTAATAGAATAGGAGCTTCTAGGCTTCCCCGTTTCGCCATTGATGGTAAAAGCCTTATGTAACTTATCTGGTCTCACCAGTGAACTTGTTTCTAGCTGATGTGTTGTAATCATTTTGGTTTGGTCTGTACTGGTCTTTTTAAAGATAAGAGGACGTGGGGCTCAAGAGCTTCTAGATATGTTGGGTGCTGCTAAAGATGACAAGACAAGGAAAGAAGCTCTAAAAGATCTTGCTGCTCTCTCTCTAAATCAGGCAAGTTAAATTTAACACATTCTGCTTTTGCATTTCATTGGGTATAAATATATTAGGATGTTGAAAACTCTTTTTTTTATCTTCTTAAGTATGCTTAAAAATCAAATGCATATGGATTTTTAACTCTTCTTGTGCTGAAGATGAAGCTGCCAACTTCTTGGGATCTAAAGGAGCGCTCTCTATCTTCAAATCAACTCCTGATTCCGCGGAAGATTCAGACATTTCAACTTACAACAAGTTAAACATACTCAAGAAGCTAGATGACAAAGACCTCACTGTCTGATTCCAATGTTCTTTGTTCAATTTAATTTTAGTCAACAAAAACAAGATAAGGAATAAGTTTTAAAGAATTTTCAACAGTTTGGGTTTCTCTGACTCATGTAGCAACAAAATATTGCTCATCCTAAAGCTATTACATTGCATTTTCTGACAAACCCTCTATTTCACAAAGATACAATAAATATAAATGCTAGGGCAAAGCTAAAAATTATACAAATTTCTTTTGAAGTGATCATAGAGGGGACTGTTTGCAAAACTTTTCTTCAAACGATTAGTTTGCTGTCAGGCTGAACAAGTTCGTCGAGATGGCGATGATGCTAGTGGCAACAGCAAGAACCAGCATTATCCCAGCTACTATCTTCTCCCTTGAGGTTGTTACACCATGAACATTCCTACCATGTCAAATCAGAAGACACCAGAGTTTAAGTTTTTTTTACAGTAAACTTGAAGCAACTGATAATAGAAACAAAGAAAGCTTTATGTACCGTAAAACAATGGCGGCTGGAAATATGAACGCTATGGAAACTGTGGCGGTTGATCCCAAGAACTGAAAGAAGTACCAAATGTCTGGCACAGCGATCGCAGACAAGAAACAACAAATCAGTAAAGCAAGAGTGAGTCCGATGAATCTCTTTGTGTCTTTTGCCAATGACACCTTCACCGTTGGAAACATGAGCTCGTCCAAGTTTGCTCTCAACGAGAAGTTCATGAGAGGAAAGACGAGCATGAGGTGAAGCGCGTAGCTGAGCCTGACAATGTCATTGAGAAGAGAACCAATAGAAGAACCAGAACTCTCGTCGAAGTTCACTAGAATGTCAGACATTGTTGCATCTCCAAACAAGAGATACCCAAAGAGTCCAGTAGCAAAGTAGATCGCAGCACATAATATCACAGAGATCTTCGTTGCTGGGATCACTTGTAATGGATTCTTCAGCTCGAACCCAATTGGATGAACTGCACTAAACACCAAACTCAGAAACATGACAAAAGAAAACAGAGAAGAAAATTCATACCGTTGAAATGAAACGTGAAGGCTGTTACTATAACAGGGGAAGCTGTGAAGAGATTCCAGAACGATCCTCCATTGTTCAACTCTGGAAACATTCTCGGATTCTTGGTCTGGCCTTTCATCAACGCGGTGATGGCCAAGACCGAGCTTATGACGACAAAGAGCACAGCAAGAAGAAACGATATCGCAGAACTAAACGCAAGTCTCTCTACACGTCTGCACAAGACCAATGGAAGCAAAACGAAGACGTAGATAAACAACAAAGCGAAGATTCTCGTGTTCCACCAGTAAGAACCAAACCATTCTTGCAAAACTCCAATATGAACTGATCCTCCATTGTCATTACCAGAGAGCACATCTCCTGAGAAGACAAAACACACAAACCCAAACTCAGCAACCTGTTCTTACTTCTTCAAATTGCATGCTTCTTCAAATCCAGTTTATACAACTCAAATTAATCAATAATTTTAATACATATCAACAAATTTATTTAATTTATTTGTTATTTATATCTAATTTTTGATAATTTATCCTAATAATTTTATGATTAGGCCTAATACTAAAATTTATTATATCAATGTAAAATATATAATTTAAAATAATTTAATAATTTATTACTCTTTCTGTTTCATTTTAGTTGTTTCATTTTAGTTGTTTCGTTTTAGTTGTCATTTTAAGTTTTTAAACACATATTAAGAAAATAAAAACACAATTAACTATACACTATCACTTTTCAACCAATAGAAAAATAAAATATTATATAAAACTAATAAATTTTGACTCGAAACTATAAAACGACACTTAATTTGTGACAAAAAAATTAAGCCTATAATAAAAAAATAATCTGCTTAGTTACTAGTGCTCTCTATAAAACGTTTACCGCTGAACTATTTTTTCAACATTGCCAAAAATAGTAACAAAAGATTCTATCATTTACCTATAATAATCGAGAAGATAACCATACATCCAAAAGTGGCAACCATCGTAGCAATCTGCACAGCCACGGAACCTGTCTTCCCGAACGACTCTTTCATAACTCCGGCGTAAGTGGTCGCTTCTCCGGCGAGAGTAGATTTCATTAGAAACCCCACAGAGATCGTTGAAAGCCAAGCGATGATCGTGATGATCAAGAAAGCTGGGATTACACCAAGAACCTTAAACGCCGCTGGCATTGACATTATCCCGGCTCCGATTATACTAGTCGACACGTTGAAAACGACGCCGGAGGTAGATCCATGCTTCTCAGACGACGGTTCTTGCTTTGGCAAGAGAGGAGTTTTGATCGGAGGAGACATTATTCCACCGCCTGAGAAACTTTAAAACTTGCCGGCGGGAAGAATACGTTTTTTTTATTTTTATCTTTTTTTGTTATGTGTGACACAAATAGACTGCTTCTTATAGCCACAGAGAGAAACAAATAAAGTACGTAAACACCCTTTGACATTGGCCACATTTGCTTTTCTTGTGGGGGTAAAATCGGTAGAATGTTATTTGATTATTGGCTGTTCTGACAGGCTGGTCTAATCACATCACTGAGATCACCAAATGATCTTTTGTCACGTACATAAAAACGTATAAACAATACCAAAAAATAGTAAAAAATGTTTTTTTTTTTGTTGGACGCAGGATTCACGAGTTCAAAGGAAACTACACCTCTATTTATTTGTTTCTTTTAGGAATAGTATATGGGTCCAGACAGTGTCCACTTGGATCTTGTCCGAATCATTGAATCATTCATTTTTCAATACAAAAGAGAATGTATCTGGACGGGAAAGTGGTTACAAAGTGTCTAACCACTTTTCTCTCATTTTAGAATCGAGGTAAAGCTCGCAAAACTCGTTTTGAATAGTAATAGGCGGCAGCAACTACATATGCTCACGTGTAAAAAATAGCAGACGATTTTGAGACTTTTGATCACGAAAACAAATTAAATGGCAAATCGATAAAAGAATTGAAGACGTGATGATCAGTCAACTATCAAGTTGGGTGGTTATAAGACTATTGAATATTTGAATTTGTTTCTAAGTAGTTCTTAATTTGCATGTAGACAAAACAGAAAACATTAATGCATTATTAAGTTGAAAAATACGTTTAAGTTCTGAATACTTTTTTTTTTTGACAGATATAAGTTCTGAATACTTGTGCATGTAATTTATACAACCTTACAAGTTGTCAAGTGATTGAAGAACTTGAAATGAAAGATATATCATGATTAACATGGGATTTTTCATCTTTGTCTAGCTCAATTATCAAGATACTAAAAGTTACAAAAAAAAGAAAAGAAAATTATCAAGATACTAAAGATCTGTTATGATTTCCAAATAAGAAAAAATTGGAGAAAAAAACGAAAGTTCGATCATTTTATATAATCTAGAAATGTTAAATTTAAGCATTTACAGTCAATTTTCTCAACATCTCCAGAACTATTGTTTTCTGTTTTTTTTAACCATATCAATGTGTATACGGCGATGCGATAAATAAGACCAATTCATTTAGAACTACTATTGTTATCTTAAAATCTGTGGTGTACCCAATTCTGTCTTACGAAATGCCTTATATACAGATTTATGAGCGAGGTCAAAATGGTAGTCATGTGATTGACTGATCAATTAGTGGTTATGAAAATGTAAAGTGGTCATATCAAATTCTTCTATTGTAGTCAAGAAAAATCTTCTAAGACATGAACTAATTATTATCCTACTATATATATTATCCCACTTCACATTTTCATAACCACCAATTGATCAATCAATCACATGACTACCATTTTGATCTCGCTCATAAATCCATAACTGTATAAAAGGCATTTCGTAAGACAAGTTAAGAAGAACAAATCAAAATGATCTTTGACCATTCTGCTCTTAAGAAAAAAAAAAAAATACAAGACATTTCGTAAATGGGCTTCACTTCATAAGCAAATCTCAAAAGCCCAATAAACTCAAGCCCACTTAAATCCGTTGAAAAAAAAAAAATCTCTTCCTCCCTACCGAAGTTAAAGTCTGCATTTTTCCGCTCCCGATCGAATTCTCCTCCTCCTCCCCCCTCATTGCAAATTCCCCTCGAGGAAGGAAACGTAACAACGTAATCGGAGGGTTGATTTTGAAGGCAGAGGAAGTAAGTTATGGGGGATCATCTGGTGAGAGCGGAGGAATTCGAGAAGAAAGCAGAGAAGAAGCTAAACGGATGGGGAATATTCGGATCTAAACACGAAGATGCTGCTGATCTCCTCGAGAAAGCTGCTAATTCCTATAAACTCGCCAAATCATGTAATAAAATAAAGTTTTCGTTTTTATTTTTGGGTTTCTGTGGAATTGATGTGATTTGATCTTTAGGTTACATTGTTCATGTCACATGGTAGAGTTTAGGCCTATTTGATCTTATAAGAAACTTGTGACTGATTGAGAATTGTAAAGAGATTTAACATTTCAGATTGGTCATGTAATAAAATTGCAAAGTGTATAATTTTTGATTTATTTTTAATGAGTTAATGTTCAATTTTCCACAAGTGTAGCGTGCTGATGTGTTTGATGTATGATTTGTTCAGGGGATCTAGCTGGAAAGGCTTATATTAAAGTTGCAGACTGTCACTTGAAGGTAAAGTTTGTTTGCCTATTAACATGATTTTTGCAAGAATTTATTGAATTATTATGTATATGATTTAACATTGTTGTTTATTTGCAGTCGGACAGCAAACATGATGCGGCTAATGCTTATGCGGAAGCTGCTAAGTGCTACAAGAAAGTTGACACTAATGGTATGTGTCGATGTCACTGGGGCGACTTGCTTGTGTCGTATTATAATTAAATATGCTACTCTTTTGGAATTTTTTTTTGAATGAAAACTCTTTTGGAATTGATAGACTCAATAATATATATGTGGGGTTTGTGTGTTTTCTTTTCGCCATGCATGTGCCTAATGTAGCCATGATTTTTGTATGCAGAGGCTGCATCTTGTCTAGAGCGAGCAGTGAATATATTCTGCGAGATTGGAAGGCTTAACATGGCTGCCAGATACTACAAGGTATCTCTCTTTTAAGCATGAATAGAATGTTACACTCTTTGAAGTAGGGACATTGTGTTAAATTGTTTTATCAGGTTACTTCTTATGTACTCCTTGTATTGCTTTTGTTTCTTTTATCATGCTGGATGATCCACTGTATAGTAATATTAGTGCATATTTTTGTTTGTTTTAATTGTTTGTACTAACAGGTATATTAATGGTTTTGTTATTTTGACAGGAAATTGCTGAGTATTATGAAGCAGACCAGAAGATAGACCAGGCTATTGATTACTTTGAAAAGGCAGCTGAGTTCTTTCAAAATGAAGAAGTGACCACTTCTGCTAACCAGTGCAATCTTAAGGTGGCACAATATGCTTCCCAGTTGGAGCAGTAAGATTATTTGAACCTTCCCTTTATTTTATTTTGCTTTCTCTCCCATTGGTATTGGCATGCTTACACTATTCAGCTAGAATTTGATGAGCAATCCATTGTTTGTATTCATGATATTCATTATGCTTGGGGAGGAATGATAGGTTTTTATTTACTTTGGTTGGGACGGATTGATTGATAAAGGTTTGGTGTATCTTTGACAGATATGAGAAGGCAATCAAGATTTATGAAGACATAGCACGCCATTCACTTGGGAATAACTTGCTTAAGTATGGAGTTAAGGGCCATCTTCTCAATGCTGGCATGTGCCACCTTTGCAAAGCTGATGTTGTTTCCATCACCAATGCTCTCGAGAAATATCAGGTTCTTATCCGTAACATGAGGCATTATATTGTCGTCCTTGGAGGAACTATGACATGATATCTAACTTCTACTTTTCTGCAGGATCTGGATCCAACTTTTACAGGAACACGAGAATGCAAATTCTTATCGGTAAGGCTTAAAACTAAGTTTTGTATTGATTTTGTAGTTTAACATTAAGTATCTAAAATCAAGTGTTTTTAATTCCCGTGGATAGGACCTTGCTTCTGCAATCGATGAAGAAGACATCGCAAAGTTCACAGACGTTGTCAAGGAATTTGATAGCATGACTCCTCTGGTACGAACCATAAATCTCATACTTTATATAATATTGTGATCTTGTTACCTTTGTCTGATCTTTATCATGGAACTGGTATTATTGCAGGACTCATGGAAGACAACTATGTTGTTGAGGGTGAAGGAGAAGCTGAAGGCAAAGGAGCTTGAAGAGGATGATCTTACCTAATCATATCTTATATCCATCCATCCAAATTTCATTGCTGGTGTGTAATTCATCATTTGTGTTCGTACTACTTCATGTTTCACCCTTGGTTGATTTTATTGTCTCTGGTCTATGAGTTTTTAAGGTTTCTTTTAAGAGGTTTGGTCAAAAAACGGGTTTGTTTGATATCACGACTACATTTGTTACGTCTCTCATCACTTCCATCTATGTCAGCTACTTGGTGATTTGATTTGTGTACATCTAATAAGATTTGTTTTCATGAAAAAAATTCAAATAAGTTTTCATCTTTCTGCGTTTGTCATGTTATCGCCACTTTAAGTTCTGACAAGGATTAGAGCATAGACGTTACATTGCAAAGGTTCTTACATACATCTTGAAACAAAGTAATACACACCATAACTTGTGAAGGAAACCAAAGGTAAGATATTGATTAAGAAGATAATCTAACACCAATTCTCATTGTCATCAACCATAACAAGCAAAGCAATGATAAAAGCATAATCCACCTCTGGATTCACTCTCACCCTAAAATTATATTTCCCTTTGCAGAAACTTCCCCATGTAAACTTATGTGTCACCTGCAAACATCCTCACAACAAGATATCAGTTCTTGACCAATGTGTGAAAAAATTACCAAAGTATATACAAATAAAGAATATTGTTTATAAGTTTTATACCCCTACCCCTGCAATGAGAGCATCCGATTTGAAAACATTGAATGAGATATTCGAGTATCCACCTGAAGCATGAAAATCACAAGTATTTTTCTTCTTGACATTATTATTCTCAGCCAAGAAAACATCCAAAGATGTTTTCAACGACATAGCTAAAGACTGCTGTGCCGTGAACAACAAGTCTTCTTTCTCTTTGCTCTCTCCTCCATGCACCTCCCATTTATTCTTCAACGTAATCCCCTAAACACACATACACAATCTCAAGAAAGGGTCCTCTAATTTGTGGTTTAAAAGATTGTTATCTATCTGTAACCTTTTGGCGCATTGTTAGGATTATGAAACCAGCAGGATCACGCATAACCCTTTTACGGTTAAACCCAAAAGCTTGTCCATCAATTTGGAGGAGGAGATTCCCACTTTGATCATACACTTCGTAATAATCCTTTGAAAGATTCTGAACTTTCCTTTTCACCATTAGATCCATTGTGTATGGATTACAGAATTGATCACTCACTATGCTTATTGCAGGATCTCCTACTTGCCATTCTGTTTTCTTGTTCTTTGGCATTTGATTCTATAAACTCAAGAAGAAAGGAGTCTCCAAAAGATTATGGAAGGCTCTTTCTCTAGAGCCTTTGATAATCCTCTCCTTATGATAAAAGATTTATCAAAAAAATGTTTTCACATTCTTTTTAGCAATATCAACTAGAAAACAGATTTGCAACTTTCTATGGTTATGAAAACAGAGTTTTATTCTTAACCCTAGGTTGTTAAACCCTAAAAATAAACTAATTAATTCTTTAATTTTAGAAACAGAACAACTGAGAAAAGTACTATTTATAGTCTCAAAGAGATATTTCTCCATTGCCAATACATAAAACATTTACAGAGTGCTCTTACAATTACAACAACATATCACATCTTTAATCATTACAGAACAATATAGTTACTTTTGTTACCGGTATGGACGTAAAAGAAAAATAGAATGTATCTGTCACATCCAGAAGCCAAGAATGGGAACAAACCCTAACTTGAGAAGGAAGCAACTTAGCCGCTGAGTAAGCTCATAGTGTTAGTTCCCTCCACGTTTGTTCTTTCTCCACTCCCATGGCTTCTCTGGATTTTTAGCTGCCCACAAGCCAATACGCTTCTGCTTAGCATCATTTTCCCACTGATCTCAAACACCAAAAAATACCGTTAAAACATCATAAAGACTAAGACAAAGAAACTAAAGAGACTTAAAGTTTATAAAATCTTGCCTTTGCAAGCTCTTGACGCTTGTCATAGGCTAGATAATGCCAAGCAAGACCTTTCTTTAACATTACTTCTTGTACAAACTTCCCACTACAGTATATATCTCCTACACATCTTCCATAACGATCCTCTGCATAGACCAACACCTTCAAGCTTTTCCCTTCAACCATCCTAAGTAGCTCATCATGTGACTCTTTTCCATAAGGCATTTTACTTTCTGGTGCATCAATTCCCCTGTTTTCATTCCCAACTTGTTCTTAGGCACTCAATATTTAGAGACAAAATCTCACACACCCAAAGAATTTGGAAGAGATCATAAGTAATATATAAGAAAGATCGGCCAATCCAGTTATCACCAATTGGTTTAAAGTTGGAAGCTCGTCTAACTTAATACTCAGAATAGCATTGATTCAAGAGATTTAAGATGAGAGTGGTTTACCTTAGTCTTATTCTGAACTTTTTAGCAAGCACTTCCTTATTGTTAACATTTATCATCCTAAGCACAAGATAGTAACAAATAGGGTCATAAGACTTATGAGTTTCATAAGCTTAATTTGATTTCAGACATTAACACAAACCTATAACCAGAAGCTATGATCTTCTTGTGAAGGGCATCTGCTTCTGTGTAATTCTTATCCTCACGAGCTTTAGCTCTTTTAGCTGCTGCAAGACTCACTTCTTTAGGAAGTGTAGATGACACAATAGGATCTGTGCTACTAACATACACAGTAACAGTATCTCCATCTGCCACAGATTTTTCATCCACCTTATTGCAATTAGAACATTTTTTATCAGCAACATCATCATAAACTATAACCTTTTTTTATAATGAATTAATAAAGTTTTCTAACCGGAAGTGTGTGAAGCTCAAATTTAAGTCCATCAGTTACAGACACAGGTGATTCATTAGAGACCTCATCAAGCTTACTAGATGAAGTGAGTCTATAGTAAGACAAAAGTCCCTGAGTTATGTCATTAAACAAAAAAAGTTTCAATAATTTTTCCAAAATGTTTAGTATTTTTGCAACTTTGAAACATGATTAGTATACCTCAACATCAGCTTTCTTATGCCCCTTTAGAGTAGTGATCACAAGCCTTGCAGCTTCCTCATCGGTCTGAGGCCTAGGCTTAGCTTGCTTCCATGCCTCAAGTATTTTTCCATACCTTAAAAACATGTTTTGGAATATTTAAAGATCTTAAGGCAATTAAGAAAGAAGGTTTAGGATGATCATGTGTCTTTACCAGTTTGCTTGAGCCTTTTTAGAAGACACAACATAACTTCCAAGCTCTTCGGGAACCTAATATAACATTTTATTTTTACAATTATGATCAAATTCTTAAAGAATCTGGAAAAAAATATTGTGAATTGATATTTGACTACACAAGATGGTACTATGGACCAAACCTAAGACTAGTAAAGCTGATCTAATAGGAAGTTTAGGAGAAAGCAATGAAGAGAGAACCTGAGAAGTGGTCTCGAAGCTAAAGAGATCACGTGAAAGAGCTGAGACGCCATGAGATTTATCGTCCGTCGTGGGGGTGCAACATTTCCGGTAGAGTAACCTAATAGCGTTACCCATTTATTCGATACGATCTGAAAACAAGAAAAAAGAAACACAAAGAAGGAGTTTTGATCTTCTTTCTTCCTTTCTTTTCTGGTACATAAAAGTCTTGCAGTTAGATTGTTTAGTTAACAAGTCATTACACGTGGCAGATTACCATTGGATAAGAAACTGAATGTGTTATCTTTTGTAAAGCAAGTATTCGGGTGCCTTGTTGTATTCAGAGATTCGATTTTATATCTTTATTGACTTTATGCTAACTCACAGATTTGGGGTTTAAGCAATCTTTAATGACAGACTAATGACATTATATATTTGGGTGAGAGAAAAAAGAAAACTAATAATTTACAAAATTAACTATAACATAAAAATCAATGGACTTGGAGACATCATCAAGGTAATAAACAACCCATATAAAACGCATTAATCTAGTGACTCTTTTGTTTAGTTTACAATATTGATTTTTTACAACCTTTTTTCTTTCTTTTTGAAAATTCATTTCAAGATTTAGGTTATGCTAATTGCTAACACTAAATCAACTTAACTGGATCCACAAATCGTGGGATAAATATAATTTTAATTTAATTAAACTTGAGACGATTTAAAAAGAGTATAGCGAGTAAGGTCAACTCTTGAACATGGCTACATTTATGAAAGTTGGTGAATGATTGTTCTATTTAGATATCATGTGAAAGGCTCTTCTACAAAAGGAACAGGAATGTCTTTTGTGATACAATTAAAACTAGGTGTTTTACCCGCACATACGGGATTAATTATCATTAATCCATTAAAAATTATCAAAATAAATGATTATTTGCATCCAAAAAATTTGACCTAAAATATTAAATTTTTTACATGATAAAGTTATTCACAAATTAAAAACAAATCATATATATATATAGGAATTATCTCTTTTATTTTTAAATATATATTTAGAATGAATAATAATAATTATTATTATTAAATTAAATCATTTATCTAAATATTAAATTATTTTTTATTTTTGACTGATTTATATTTTTTATTCATTAAGGGTATAAGCGATATTAACCACTCCAACTTTTAATGTGAGAACTACGTTGCGAAAAAACACTTTGTAAATAATAGTATAGATAGATGTTTATTGCTGTTTAAAAAATTAGTTAAAATTAGAATTAAAATCCCTAACACTAACTACAATGAGAATCAAGTGACTTGTTGCTTAATCCAAAAACATTCGCAAAGAGCTCGTGATTCTAGTACTAAATAACTACCATTAATTAAATGAAAACAAATATATATATATAAACTAACTAAACTGAAGAATTATCTTCATGGAAATTTAAGTGGATTAAGCATGTTTTCATACTCCACAATTCGGAAAAATTGAAAATGCCGAAAATCTTTCCAAATCTATTGAAAATGTTTGGTTACCAACCCTTTGCATTAGTAAGATTGAGAAATCAACTTGATAGACAGTGAGATAGACAAAATGCTTGAATGATTTTCAAAGTTGTGGAAAAATATATTCACATAACCTTTAGTACTCTACATACAGTAAAACCTCTATAAATTAATAATGTTGGGACTTTGAAATTTTATTAATTTATAGAGATATTAGTTTACGAAACTTTCCTTATTTAGATTTTCTTTTCTATTTTTATTTATAAAATAAAAAATATTTGATTTTAGCATATGTCATTATTTAAATTTTAGAAATTTGACTTTTATATTATTTTATTATCTTATTTGGTGTATATTTTATGTTTCAAATAATTTTTACATGGTTTTCGATGTAATTTAACTAAATATT